TTTTATAGAATCTAACAACATGCATAGGTGACGACACACTTGCCATGTTCTGAGGAGGCCTTCAACCAGTGTAAAGAGGAAAAAGCATCTACATTGTCTGAAGTGTTCGATGGCGCATCCTACTCCGCTTTTGCAGGAACTGCTATCGTCTGTCACATATTCAATCGAATCCTCAAACATGTCCACAGGCCAAAGCCGACTGACCACCCCGAGAATCCCGAATACGGTCCATTCTGGAATCGTCACCGCGAAATGGACAACCTGTTGTCGAGTACGTTCATGTTTCTTCCAGAGCGTTTCCGACTGCCAAAAAACATTCGCGACCCCATTGCTGTATCCACAAATCTCAATCTTCACGCCGCCGTCATATGCTTACACCAGGCCGCCTGCGAGAAGTCGGACGAATTTAATCTCCGTGGTGACATCAAGATGGTGAGCAAAGTGCGGCTACTAGCAGCTGCCCAGGAGATTGTGAACATTGTCAAAGTGACTTCTCACATCAATGCTGGCTACGTGAGTAATGCCTTTCCTGTAATTGTTCATACACTAAAAGCCTCCTAGAGAAGTCCACTTGTGTCGCTATCGATTTACTGCGCCGCCCTAGTGTACATATCACACCTGAAGGACGTTGACGAGGACCCTACAAGTGTTTCCAATATCCAATTCCTCGTCAAAGCAATGGATGCGATGGGGAAGCAACACTTCATCACTAGGGCATTCCTTCAGCAGATTCTTCTCGACATCAAAGAAAATGGCGTCGAAAACAAGATCGTTATGACACTCCCCAAACCGACCGGTGAAATACCGCCTGCACCGTGCGGCCACAATATCCCACTGTTTGCTCGTTCTAAGGTCTCAAGACATACGAAGATGCAGCCACCGCTGCCTGGCCGCTTGCCCCTTGGTAACCCTATCGGCAGAACAATCGACACTGGACAGTATGCCGGAGGTTGCCCGGCGAATCTTCCTGTCAACCTCCAAGAGCAGAGACTTGAAGATGCTTTGGCTGAAGAACCGACAAGCAACAACAAACGCAGACGCATGAAGTCGCCAGAGGCAGCGGACTCTACGACTATATCTCTAAATCAAGCGGCGCAGGGCTTGGATCAGAGAGGTACAGAACAAAATGCCGCTTTGAATGGGTTTGGGCTGCTGAATCCTAATCCCAAATCGCCAACTGGAGGACCGATGTTTTTCAACGCGACAGCCGCATCGCAAGACATCTCAGGAGGCGATTCATTCATCATACCGACGTCAATGCCGAGCGGTCAAGACGCCATTGCACCGCTGTACACGCGCGTCCTGGGACACGTGAAGCTGCCCCATCGCGCAGGCTCAGATACATCGTCTCCTTCGACAAGTAGGACGGCAGGTTCTACACAAGCAGGCAGCTCATCATCAGCCACCCCCGGCAGGAGCGGCCCTGAGATGGGGCCGTCAGGGGATGGCATCACGCCCGGACAAGTTCCCTTCACGCCGCTGACCGCGCAGGCAGAGGCCGACTTGTTTCAAGGCCTGGACTGGGGCGACATGTCCGGCTCCGTATTTGAGTCTGTTGCAGATATCATAAGGCCTGCTCCTGAGGACGGATCAGGCGATAATGATCCCTGGGGCTTGGCCAGGGATAAACCACTGTGGGATACTGGAGGCAATGGTTGAAGCCAGAGAACTCGGGTTTCTAATAATCATGTACCACTCCGTTGTATAATAGAAAAAGTATCCGGTTGTGAGGCCGCTGTGCCATATTGAACTGGAATCAAACTTGGTTGGGATAGACGGACGCGATCAACTCCCTTAATAGAGGTTGGAGGGGCGCTTCGAGACACAATGGTGACGGAAGACACTGGACAACGCAACTCATCCATATAAGTTTTTTTTGGCGTAATGCCGTAGGAGCCCAATTGAGCAATTTCAGGACGATGAATGGGTTTGTTATTAGAATCGGCATTCGATACGAGCCCCTTAGCTAAGACAGCTGCAGGGATAAGGCTAAGCAGCTGAAGTGTCCGTAGTGGCTGTACGTCATCCGCAATTGAGTTGCCTAGCCGAACCTCCCGATGTACAATTCTCAGTTGACTTCCATTTGAGCAAAAAGAGCAGAACGGCAGATGTGTGCCGTCAATTGAGCTCCTGCAATGTTTTCGTACATTGTGGTGTTCGCCACCTTCGCCCTCGTCCTGTATAATCCAATCTCACAGTTATTCTCCCCTGGGGCGCCTGTTACTCGTCGCCTGCCCAGGCCGCCGATCAACGAAGACCTGCTGGCGCTAGAGAATGCAGCGAATCACACGGACACGCGATGCCCTCAAGATTCCTATTCTGTCCATATTCTCTCCAAAGAGCCATTAGTGGTGTACATCGAGAATTTCTTGTCTGAAAATGAGCGAGCTCATCTACTCGAGATCAGGTCAGTATAAGACATCGGCACGGCTCTTTTACTTGGATCGTAATAGGTAGCTGCGAATTTGAACCACCCCTGAATGTCTTCTACAGGAGGAAGAGGAAAACCATCACTTGATTGGTTAGACTAACATTGTCAAGCGAGCCTCTCTTCGAGCCTTCAACCATTACCAGTGACGGTGGTGCTACTACTGAACGAGAGACTACCATTCGGGACTCAGAGGTAGCTATAGTCCCGCGCACGGAGACAGTCAGGTGCATTGAGTCTCGTGCAAGGTCCTTCCAGGGCTGGCGTGACGAACTCTGGATTGAGCGCCTCCGCACTCAGAGGTACAGGCCAGGCGGGCACTACAATCATCATTTCGATTGGAGTTCGGCAGCAGGGGGCTGGGGTAGAGTGAGCAGTATGATGGTCTGGGTTGACGATGGCGAGGGCGAGCTTGTAGGCGGCGGCACAGAATTTCCCCTCCTCTCTAGGAGGAGTGATGACCGTCGCTGGTGTTCCTTCATCGAATGTGATTCAATAGCCGAGGAACAAGATGGGAAAGGGCATAACGGTCTGAGTGGTGACCCTGAAGCATCCAGCTATGGCGTTACGTTCAAACCCGTGCCAGGTAACGCTGTTTTCTGGGAGAACTTCAAGCCAGATGGGACTTGGCAGTCTTATCAGGAGACATGGCACGCTGGGCTGCCAGTGACGAAGGGTGTAAAGGTTGGCCTGAACATCTGGACCTGGGGACGGCTTGACTGAAGCATCGAAGAAACCCATGCTCTAAATGGATTAATGTGTAGAATATATTGTATAATGTGTATCAAGCCCACCGAATCGAAGTTCGATCGACTCTGTTTCCCCCACGACGTTCATAATGAATGATGTCTTGCTTCTGCTGCATTGGTACAATGAGTGACCACCCCTTGCCCCTTTTGTCAATCCATGACAAACTATGCCCATGGCTATCTGCTGCAAGTATAGCACCTACATGGAAAATTTTGACTGCACGGCGGTCGGCGGTTGCCATTTCTCAAACGTAACTTGAATAGAATGGCCGTGCATAAAATACCTTCTCTTGACAAATGTAAACGTCGAAATGAAGCCTTGCTTTGCCTCCAGCGCCTAATATCCCACGCCAGCCTGGGCTGGGCTGTGGTTGCAACCGTACGAGACTGTAGACTGAGGCGAAACCCTCTGTATCTGAGGACCATTTCTGTCAAGACCCGGTAGGCCCTTCAGGCCAGACCGTTTCTCAAAGTGGCTTTTTATTTTTTTTCGGAGATGCTGAGACAACCAGAGCCTGGGCCTGCCCCCACGATTGCGTGCTCGACCAGAAGCGAAACGACTGGCCCACTGGGGCGCCATGAAGTTCATTGTTGATAAGTAACCTTGCTATCATTGTCTCTATATGTAAGATGCCACACTTGTGCTGCCAACAGATTTCAATTGGAACCTATTTGGGAAGATATCAGCACTTCATATTCCAATGTGGATGATGGCAGAAAGAGCACACGCAAAGCAACGATAGTTTAGCAAGAAGTGTTCAACGCATATGAACAGCAGAACCATGAGGACCACTTCATTCTCGTGATGAATCTACATCCGTAGGATAGGGATGAAGATATATCATGGAGTCAACAGAATAGTCTGGCTCTTTCCAATAGGCGTGTATTCACTGGCCAACAACGTTCTCCATCTTAATGCCACTGCGGTGACAATCTCGACTATTACTGGCGACAGATAAGTCTCTGCACCACTAGCGTAAAATGCAGACTCAAATGAACCATTGGTAGTCGTTTGAAGGTTGGATAGACCTGGTGCTGAATCGGAGGAGTGGTTTCCCCAATTCCGCTGTATCCTTGTCCGGAGCGGCGTCATGACACAGCTGTAACCGCACGAAGCGATGAGTATTTAGCAATTGCCGAGGGCATATTGGTAGACTCGATCTACTAGTGTTCCTATAAGGCGATTCCATTTCGTAGTGATTGTGTAAGTGCCATGTGGATAGACAAATTCAAAGCCATATGTTTTTTGCTCGGCGACGAAAGCGTCCACCCATTCTAGATGCCAGCAGTCCAATTGCTCGTCCTAACTCGCCCATTTGCACTTAACAAACAAGCCGAGCATTGAGCACGGTACCCGTCAAATTGCCATTGCCGACTCCGCGATTGAGAAGCTTTGGATAGCTTCAAGTTCATCTACCTACCCGACCTAACCTAATTGTAAGAATAGTGTAGCCGGGCGGGTCCACGTGCATGTACCACCCCGCTGTGTGCAGCACATTCTCCAGGGATCATGACGGCATAGTTTCCATAGTTTCCACCCCAATCCCACACCATTTCTGGCCGGACCATCGGTTTCGGGCGCTTTACGGTGGGAGGCGAGCGCCGCAACTCCCACGGCGGCGCCTCCGTTGTGTGGTGACGTGTGGTTTGCCGGCCTCTCATGCAGAGCCAAGAGAGAGAGAGTGGGCGCACCTTTTGTGAAGTCTCTTTGGGGTGCGTGTGGGTAGGGTAGGTACTCGAGGTATTCGAGGTACCCGCGGTGCTACACGTGTGCTGTAACTGAAAATCTTGACTGATCAGTTCCTGGGCTACCATCCCTTAGCATGGCGCCCCCAGGTCGAGGCAAAGTCAGTCTGCCTTAAATACCCTCCGGGAGGAGCCTTAGCCCATGAACCCCAGCTGTTCTGTAGTTCCTGGATCTTAGATCGACTGACGTGCTTTTGGTGCGTGATTGCAAACAGATCTGCTCTCTTGTTTCAGTCTGAGATACCCGTTCAACGTGCTGTGAAAATAGATATGGCCCCTGCCACCATGTCGAATCGGCCAATCTTCGTTGCTACGCACCCACGTGCGTGCTCAACCGCCTTCGAAAGGGTACGTACCGATTCTCCCGGCTCAGTTGCCGTGGTCTGACGCTGATCTCGTCTCCAGGTGTTCCTGACTAGGCGTGACATCCTGCAATGCGCCCATGAGCCTTTTGGTGATGCCTTCTACTACGGGCCGGAACGGCTCTCGCAGCGCTTCGAGAAGGATGAGGCTGCGAGAAAGGAGAGTGGTTTCTCAAATTCGACCTATCAGACGATCGTGGACCGACTCGAGAACGATGCCGCTGAGGTTCGATCTTCCCCGTTACTTGTCGTTTGAAGTCATTTGAGAACCCCGGATTGTACATCCCTTCAAACGAATTCATTATTTCCTACTCCATGCGCAAGTGCGCTGAAGTGCTGTTTCCTGATGCCCTGCGAATAGAGCAGGCTGGTGATATCAAGATCTTCTTGGTCTCCTCTGAATTTACCCCTTGGCGAAGAGAGAACGATCTTATCAGACACCCGAAATCTGTGGTAGACAATCGAGAAGGTTGCTAGCAAGTCTGTAAAGTGATGAGATACTTACTCCCACTAGGGCAAGCGAGTGTTCATCAAGGACATGGCTTACTATTGGTTTCCCCCAGACGGCAAGCCCGCCTCATTAGCCCCGTCTCTCACGAAGGGCTTGAGCAATGGACACACCAACGGCAATGGCCACACAAATGGGGTGTCTGAGAATGACAACCCAACCGTGGTGCCGAAGGAGTTGCTGCAGAAGTTCCACTTCACATTCCTCATTCGGCATCCCAGGAGAGCCATTCCCTCATACTTCAGATGTACGGTTCCACCCCTGGATGATCTGACTGGATTTCATCACTTCATGCCAAACGAGGCCGGATACGAGGAGCTTGTCCGGCTCTTCGACTATCTGCGCAAGGAGAAGATTGTAGGTCCCGCTCTCGCGGATGATGTGAATGCGGATAAGGAGAACCAGACTCCTATCACGCTCATCGATGCCGATGATCTGCTCGACAACCCAGAGGGCATCATCAAGGCCTTCTGCGAGCAAGTCGGCATTGAGTTCTCGTCTGATATGTTGTCGTGGGACGATAAAGAGAACCAGGAGTATGTCTCAAAGGCTTTTGAGAAGTGGAGAGGATTCCATAACGACGCAATTGAGAGCACCGAATTAAAACCAAGGGCACCGGGTCACGTAAGTCTTACGTCGAACTGATTCTTTCTTGCTTGATAACGCTAACGGACGACTCCAGAAGAAAACACCTTCAGCCGAGGATGAAGACGCGGAATGGAGAAAGAAGTTCGGTGAGAAGGCGGCCAAGGTCATTCGCGAAACCGTGGATGCCAATACCGCCCATTACGAGTATCTTAAGCAATTTGTCATGAAAGCTAAATAAGCGATTTGTTGAAGGGATTATATACTCCTGTTCGCATGTATGCATTATACAGTAGTTTACATGTCAGCTGAGCTATTGAAAAGTCTACCCAGCACCGGAAACACTGTCCGGAAATACCACTGGGCCGTCACGGCCAGTTTTTGCCCATGCAAATTGCGTTGTATCGTACAAATCTCGCTTGCCAATTGTGACCTCTATGCTGTGACTGTGGTCTCCTCGTTGGGCTGAGGCGCTTCAGAGGCAATTGCCTCGTTGGTCGCCTCCATTGTTGATATGGATGTCCTCTCCGGAAGCCCCAGCGCATGCGTAACATTCGCCGGCCAGGAACGTGCAAACTCCCTGTCCAACTCGCTCGCCCAGTATATTGTTGTCTCAACCAAGGACTTTTCCGACTCTAATTCTTGTCCTTTAATCAGGTTGTCGGTTGATTGCTCTGTCGTCCACATTCTATTTCCTCGACCAGCTCCTCCAAGAACTGCCGCAATGTCGGCTACGGCGTTCGCCTTTTGATCATTCAGCGCAATGCCCCTTTCCTTTTTCTTATTCTTCAGGATGATGTCGGACGTTTGATAGCCCCAGGTGAGCTCATGCAATCGTTTGAACTCCCGCAGTTTCTGAAAAACACTCTGTCCTACTACGCCAAGTCCGACGGGAAATTGTATCAATGCCATTGGCTTCCAGTAGTCTTTTCGTAGCTTCGCTGGCTTCAACTTCTTGCCATTGAATGGTATTTGTCTTAGGGCACGGTTTGACTGATAATTTTGGTCAATAAACGTGATGCGCAATTGAATCAGTGTTGCTTCCTTACATCCATAGCTGGGCCGTGTGAGTAAATGACCTGGTTCGACTCGATATTGTTGAAAACCCATATCCTCTCGCCGTGGCCGGGTTCAAAGCCGGTCAGCTCAGGGCGCGCCGGCCTGAATCTTGGTGTGGCGTGGCCATGCCGTATGCTGACGCGCGAAATGCCGATTGACAGCCTTCCTACAATGGAAGATGCCGGCGAGGCGTTCATGATTATCTGCTGATGGTTTGGCAGACGACGCCGTGATCGAGTGACAGCTCTTTGGTGTAATACGAATGCTCGAGTCTTTCCCCTACCATAAAATTTATCTGTGGTATTGATTGGCTGACGCGGTTGCCGGTTGATCCGGCCCGTCTTTCTAGGCCAGCTTTAAGGGAGAATAGTGACGTCTGGCGTCGACGACCCCACTACGGCAGGCGGCACCCAGGCGGTAGCTTAGCTACAGCACTTATTACAGTGGTATGATACCCAACCTCAAACCTTAAATGGGGACCCGACCGTGGGGCAAAGGGCTTCAGCGAATCAGCGGGGCTTCTCCAGCAATACCATCTAGAGTGTTCTACCAGCTTCTCAGCTGTGTGAGATCATGCGCGAAACCTCCAAGCCTGCTTTGTCCTGCCTTTGTCCTGCTTCGGCCCCCCTCGCCTTCTCGGACATCCTTGAAGAATCTCGTGGTCCTGAGTAACTTCTATACTCCACTAATCTGTAGGATAAATCTTCTCATCCTCTTCCTGCAGCCGAAACTTGCACTTTGTTCTCTTCTGCAAGAAAATATACTCAACTCAACACGAAGTTGACGATACCCCACCATCGAAGCTGAATCAACAGCTCAAACCTGGAAGCAGAGCTTTCCAGCTACCCACACATCACATCGCGCCTCACGATTTTACGAACACACAATCATTCCCCTTTTCACTTCGTACACATAATTCAAGATGAATTCTAAAATGGAATTCACCGACCGAGCCAAGAAGGCGTTGGAAGACGCCATGGCCCTTGCCGAGCAATACGCTCATACACAACTCCTCCCCGTCCACCTTGCGGTGGCTCTTCTCGACCCTCTACCCGACCAGTCCAAAGACCAGCAGAATGCGCCGCAAGGAACGACCTCCACACTTCTTAGACAAGTCATTGAGCGTGCTCACGGCGACCCGCAACTCTTCGATAGAGCTCTGAAGAAGACCTTGGTCCGCCTGCCGAGCCAAGATCCTCCTCCGGAGAATATCTCCATGGCACCGTCATTCAACAACGTCTTGCGAAAAGCGATGGAGCTTCAGAAAGTACAGAAGGACACATACATTGCTGTCGACCATCTGATCACAGCACTTTCGGAGGACTCTTCGATTGAGAACGCATTGAAGGAATCCAATATCCCGAAACCTAAATTGGTGCAAGAGGCCGTCCAGGCTATCCGTGGCACGAAGCGAGTCGATTCGAGAACAGCCGACACTGAGCAAGAAAACGAGAATCTGGCCAAGTTCACCATCGACATGACAGCAATGGCACGGGAAGGCAAGATCGACCCAGTCATTGGACGAGAAGAAGAAATTAGGAGAGTCATTCGGATCCTATCTCGTCGAACCAAGAACAACCCCGTGCTTATTGGTGAACCTGGTGTTGGTAAGACGACAGTTGTCGAAGGTCTCGCGCAACGAATCGTCAATGCCGATGTTCCAGACAACCTAGCAGCTTGCAAACTGCTCTCGCTCGATGTCGGTGCTTTGGTTGCTGGCAGCAAGTACCGAGGAGAGTTCGAAGAGAGGATGAAGGGTGTACTGAAGGAGATTTCGGAGTCCAAGGAGATGATCGTCCTATTTGTCGATGAAATTCATCTGTTGATGGGTGCCGGCTCTTCTGGCGAAGGTGGCATGGACGCGGCCAACTTGCTGAAGCCGATGCTTGCTCGTGGCCAGCTACACTGTATCGGTGCCACAACCTTGGCTGAGTACCGCAAGTACATCGAGAAGGATGCCGCCTTTGAACGACGTTTCCAACAGGTCCTTGTCAAGGAGCCTTCAATCCCGGAGACTGTCTCCATTCTCCGTGGTCTGAAGGAGAAATACGAAGTCCACCATGGTGTTAACATCGCTGATAGCGCCATCGTTGCTGCCGCCAATCTTGCAGCTCGGTATCTGACTTCACGAAGACTGCCTGACTCCGCAGTGGATCTCATCGACGAAGCAGCCGCGGCTGTAAGAGTTGCCCGGGAGTCGCAACCAGAAATTATTGATTCTCTGGAGCGTAAACTGCGGCAGTTGAAGATCGAGATTCACGCTCTATCTCGAGAGAAGGATGATGCTTCGAAGGCTCGTCTCGCACAGGCTAAGCAGGATGCTAGCAACGTCGAGGAAGAGCTCAGACCTCTTCGGGAGAAGTATGAGAGCGAGAGGAAGCGTGGCAAAGATATTCAAGAAGCCAAGATCAAATTGGATCAACTGAAGGTGAAGATGGAAGATGCGAGCAGAATGGGTGACCACGCCAGGGCCGCCGATCTCCAATACTACGCTATTCCGGAACAAGAGGCTATCATCAAGCAGCTTGAGAAAGACAAAGCTGCTGCAGATGCTGCCATCAGTGCCAGTTCCGCGGATACTGGTGGCTCTATGATCACCGATGTTGTCGGGCCAGACCAGATCAACGAGATTGTCTCAAGATGGACTGGCATTCCTGTTACCAGGTTGAAGACTTCCGAGAAAGAGAAGCTTCTGCACATGGAAAGAGCCCTCGGCAAGATCGTTGTTGGCCAGAAGGAGGCAGTCAACTCAGTCTCTAACGCTATTCGTCTCCAGCGGTCCGGTCTCAGCAACCCCAATCAACCTCCCAGTTTCCTGTTCTGTGGTCCATCCGGTACTGGTAAGACACTGCTGACGAAAGCACTTGCCGAGTTCCTGTTCGATGATCCCAAGGCAATGATCCGGTTCGATATGTCCGAGTACCAAGAGAGGCATTCACTTAGCCGAATGATCGGTGCGCCACCAGGTTATGTCGGCCACGACTCTGGTGGTCAGTTGACGGAGGCTCTCCGACGCAAGCCTTTCTCTATCCTTCTATTCGACGAGGTAGAGAAGGCTGCGAAGGAAGTCCTTACAGTGCTTCTGCAGCTGATGGATGATGGACGTATCACTGATGGCCAAGGCCGTATTGTGGACGCCCGCAACTGTATCGTGGTCATGACCTCGAACTTGGGCGCTGAGTACCTGGCCCGACCAGCTGGCAAGGATGGCAAGATCGACCCGACTACTCGCGAACTTGTCATGAATGCGCTACGCAACTACTTCCTACCCGAGTTCCTCAACCGAATCTCATCCACTGTCATCTTCAACCGTCTCACCAGGAAGGAGATTCGCAAGATTGTTGATCTACGCCTCAGCGAAATCCAGAAGCGGTTGGCAGACAACAACCGCAATGTCATCATCTCCATTTCTGACGAAGCCAAAGACTATCTCGGCAATGCTGGCTACTCACCAGCCTACGGCGCAAGACCTCTCACTCGACTCATCGAGAAGGAGGTGCTCAACAGACTGGCAATCCTCATCCTTCGCGGCAACATTCGTGATGGTGAGGTGGCCAGAGTCGAGCTGGTCGACAACAAGATCGTTGTCCTCTCAAACCACCCGGACAGCGAGGCTGATGATGAGGAGATGCTTGTTGACGATGAGGATGATGCTCTAGAGGAGATCATCGCAGACGACGGCATGGATGAGGACATCTACGATTAAGGTAGATGGCACTTAGACTGATCGATGATGATGATTTCTACGCAATTGATGAGGAAGACTATGGTACAAGGAAAATGGCTTGGCGTTTATGGACTTGGAATTCATAGTAAAGACTCTAGATAGTAGGATCTAATAGAGTGGAATTATGAAATTGTTACTTACAGAAACCGCAGACATGAGTGTGACACTTGGTATGACACGATGTGAAATTTATAAGACATGGAAACAGCTAACGCATCGGCAATGTGATTAATGTTTTTGCTCTCTGCCAAAGTCAATGCCTGTACTGATAAAAGGCAAAGCTGTAGATCTTGAGCTGCTCTTGCGAGCTGGCATTTAAAGCAGGCAAAAAAGTCCGTTAGTGAAGCTAAATTTCACAAAATGGAAGTCACGGTAAGTATGGCGTTACCCCAGCCTTGATTACCTACCTAGGCATGCTATCCGTACCTATCTCGTGACGAGCATCAAAGTCAATTCATCAATTGACAGAAATATTTAATGTTCCTGGTCACAAGACGTACTTGCATTTACACCACCACTCAAGCCCTCCGAGAGGCACTCTTACCAAGAACCCAGCCAGCGCAGAGGCATTTCATCATGGCTACAGGCTCATCCAAGCTCCAGCGCTTCAAGGAAGCGATGCAGCTCGTCTACGGGCCCTTTGAGGGCCTGACGCAGGCAGAGGCGGAGAGGTGGACCCCGCCCGAGAGCCCCGGCGCCGGCGGCCACCGGGGCCGCTACCTGTGGACGGACGCGTTCGGCGTCGTCAACTTCATCACGCTGCACAAGGAGACCGGGTCGCCCGTCTATCTGCTCTTCGCGAGGCGGCTCGTGCAGACGGTGCACGACGTGCTCGGCCGCGCGAGAGACGGCGGCGCCAGACTGCCGGCGGCGAGCGATGAGCACCCGCTGAGTGGAGGGCTGCGGATCGGCAAGGTGGACGCAGCGGGCGGCGACGGCGACGGCCAGTATCACCACTACTTGACGCTATGGATGTTTGCTCTGAACCGGCTGGCGCTCGCCGCGGACGACAAGGCGTATAACGCGCAGGCGATCGAGCTTGCTAAAGCCATTCACCCGTTCTTCGTCATGCGCAAGGCAAGCGGCCGGCTTGGGATGGTTTGGAAGGTCTCGATGGATCTGAAGACGGTGCTGGTGCCGTCTGAAGGGCACCGTGAGTTTGACTCGTCTTTGGATGCTATTTTGGTCAAGTGACAGGGGCGGTCTCTCATTACGCATGAATAGGAACTAAGCGTGTGAATTATAGTCGATCCTGCCAACGGCTACGTGATTTACAAGCTGCTTGAGCAGACAGGCCAGAGGTTTGGAGGTGGCTCCCCGTCGCTGGAGAAAGAGATCGACGAGTACCACCAGATCATGAGTAGGGAGGGGAAGCTGACCGCCAGTCGTGACACCCTCGATCTCGGAATGGGGCTATGGATGTGCGAGCTGGTCAAGGATGAGGACTGGGCAGCTAAATTGGGCAACGAGAGCGTCGAGATAGCCGAAGATGTGCTGGCCGAGGGCCGTGGGATCCTGGCGAGAGATCCAAGCCGACGGCTGGCTTTCAGGGAGTTTGGAACGTGTCTGGGCATCCAGTGCTATGGCACGACCGAGTATTTACACGCAAGAGTCGCAAGCATCATTGAGTTTTGGGAGAGGTATCTGGAGGAGTCAACGGACGAGGACCTTCGACCCATTTCGTTGGTGATGTATGCGGCGGCTCTAATACCGGGAGGTGAGTCCATCACAACTTTATGGACTGTTTCTTGTGTTGTGACCTGAGGTCTAACTTGGTGTCATCGAAGCCTGGCGAATCGATCATCTGTGAAAAGTCAATTCCGGGGCCTTGCTGAAGAGCCAGAGCCCTCAACATCAGGCGCCGAAGGGAGAGGAATTCGGCGGAAGAGAGGCTGAAGCTGCAGAAGTCCAGTCTTTTGAGCTCCATTACACGACACTGTGTTGCATGGGAGTTTGTCAGATGAGTGGATTTGCATGCCAGATAGTCACGGTGGAGTGTCTACGCAGTACAGTATGTAGAAGAGGAATGTCTCGGGAGTGGATGGAATTGTATGCTAACAAACATGGACTAAGGCAAGGTTCCGGGCAGTTGAGATTCTCGCCGGTGCGCGCCGTCAGTTCTTCACCTGAGCTTAATTATTTTTAGACTGGGGGGCGACCTAGGGGAACTCTGCTAGGTACGCTCGGTACGGTAGCGTAACTGGTAGCCAGCTAGCCAGCAGGTAGCCAAACCAGTCCGCTCCCTTGCTCTCGCCTTATTCCCTGGAGCTGGGCAGCTGGAGCAGGAGACCGAGTGAAGAGGCGGCTTAGACAATGCCACAATGATGATTGATGATTGATGATTGACTGAGTAGGCTGGCAGGAATGGAGCGTGCTGCCAACACGAGGTGCCAGTATCGAGGTACTCGAATAGCAGACCAAAATGACACCACAGCAAAACCTGCTCTAGAAAATGCTGCAGCGGGCCCCTCCCAATACGATCGGATCAGCTGGCAGCCATGGATCCTGACTGGTCCAAACGGCCTCGTCTGGAGACACCCTGGAACCTTGGGCAACCTAACCTGAATTCCCGGCAGAGACAGCGCCACCACAACATCATTTTATGCGGTGCTAAGCCTAAACAACACACACCAAGGCCAAGGCATGGCCCAGGGGACCACACCCCCCCCCCCCCAACTCCTTTTTTCTGCTCCCCCAGGCCGTCCCCGAACGCCGTATTATGTACTCTTCATGTGAACGGACGCACACGGATCGGATTGGCTGGCTGTGACGGCGGCTTGTTAGTGTTGACGCCTCCTCTGCTGCATGTTGGTTAACCCTGCAACGAAAACCACTCTCTCTCACAAACCTCCTCTTCCAACCCTCACGACCTTCGTTTTCTCCTACGGCCTCTGCCTCAATCCCCGACACTCGCTTCTTGCTGTTCATCAATCGCTCGCTTCACCTTTCTTGGATAGCAAGCGGAAGCCTATTTCAACTCTTAATAACATTTCTCTTCCTCGTGTGTGCTTCTTACGTCTCTACGATCTAGCGTGAAAAGGCGTGTTTCGAATACGAGGATTCTGTGTCGGTACGATTGACTTCCACCACCGACCAAATACCACTCGACAATCAACGGGAGGGCCTCTCTACACCGTGTTTGGAGGCCTTTAACAATCTCAGGGCATTGGAGACTGCTTCAGGCCCCTATTGAATACTTCTTTTTCTTTCTCTACTGTAGATATTAGTCACGTCCTTCAACGAACGCCATGAAACCCGTACAGATCACCACCATCCTTCTGGCTCTCAGCCCGCTGGCTGCTGCATGGCCGACATGGCTCCCAGATCTCGACTCACTGATTGTGAGGCGGCAGGATGATGATTCCTCAGCCAGTACGTCCCCTGACTTTGCCTTCACAAACAGTCAAGACTTGAACACTGACAGGAGCCTGGTAGCAACCGAGTCACCACAAGAAACAGCAACGCCCACTGCAAAGGCCACGACAACTGCCACCACGAAAGGCAAGAGTGAGCCCACCACTACAAATCTGAACCAGGGAGGAAAGACGACAAGCAAGAGCGGCTCCGGGACGGGCACAAAGACCGCCAAGGCGACACACACCGAGTACGACGCACAAGACCCCGCCGGCTCCGTCGTCATGATCACACCCGCCGCGACGTCCGGCACGCAGCTGTACAAGATTGGCGACTACGTGACGTGGGGGTGGAACTACACCAACGTGCAGGGCAACCCGACCGCCATCGACGTGCTGGTGTCGTGCAGCAAGGCCACAAACACGTGGACCCTTACACAGAACATGACGTTCGCCACCGAGGGCGCCTTCACCTGGGACACGGGCAGCTACCAACAAACCGCCGTGGCCAGCCCGCTGCTGACCGAGCAGTACACCCTGCTGATCTACGACGCCGAGAGCAGCGTCAGCGCGACCGCCGAGGCCGGGTACCTGTCGCCGTTCTCGGGCTTCGTCTTCGGCCTGTACACCCCGCGGCCGTATACCCCTCTAGCAGAGGGTTGGAAGTGTGCGACGTGCAGTGCTGCCCTGTCCGACAACGAGAAGCGGGCGCTGGGATTCGCGTTCACGATGGCGGCGATTACAGTGGCTAGCTTCACATGGTTCGTGACAGGACTGTGGTAATGGATGCAAAAGATACAGGTTGAGTCGAGCGAAGAGTAGTGGGTGCAGCTGTAATGACCCGGTAGAATGTTTCTTTCTGGAATCTGGGACCGGCAAATGGTGTTCTGTTGGAACATCTGAAAGTGTTTTAAACTGGCTGTGCACGATTTGGGGCGTTGGCAAACCATCGACATTTATATTATAATGCTTTGGAAATATCGGCTTTGGGACTATAAAATCATGGCGGTTGCTGTATTTACAAGGGGTTCACATCGCCTTACCCTAGATATTAAGTAATGACGAATCAAATACATGGTTCACAACATCGAGGTCCCACGGTCTGGACTTAGCAGCGCAGGAGAGTTTGATGCATCCAAGAGACCCCTTTCTTGGGGCAGGCAAGGAGCCTTGTAAATTCATCAGTCATATAGCCAAGCGTGTCTGACATGGCATGATTCGATGCTTTGAATGCCTTTAGTTAAATCATCCTCAGGGAGAAGCCTCCGCCCCTCTCCTCTTTCTCCCTACCAGCGAAGATCCCGCTGAGGTCAACAGCTCCAAAGTCAACAGCCTGCCCTCCGCGCATAGGAGCGTTTGGCGTCTGCCGCCTCCTCCTTCTTTCTTGTCCTGCCTTGCTTGGGAAAGTTGGGAACATAGTTTCTGACTTGGGCTTGGGATCCTGCCTGAAATACTCGTGAGCCAGCATTTCCTTCGCAGTCGGTCTCTTTGCCGGGTTCAACGACAACAAGCCATTGAGTAGATTGCTCCCCGCCGTCGTCAAAAGGGGAAATTTAGCTCGGATTACAGAGCCTGTGGTGAGCCCGCTCTTTGGTAGTCGTAATGAGCGCGCATTGGGCAACCTCTTGAAGCCTGGCCACGTCTCGTCCGTCGGTATGCCGCACAGCTCGAAGATCTTCGAGAGCTCGTCCACCTCGTTCTTCCCTTGTAACAGCGGCTCTCGCGTCAAGAGCTCGCCGAATATGCAGCCCACACTCCACATGTCTATTGCCTGCCCATACCTGGCGGCGCCAAGGAGTAGCTCGGGCGCTCTGTACCACAGTGTGACCACCAGCTGTGTGAGCTTCGGTGGAGGGTCGCCCACGTATCTCGCCATGCCAAAATCGGCTATCTTGAGCTGTCCACGGTTGTTGAGGAGTAAATTGGAGGTTTTGAGATCGCGGTGAAGTATCCAGTTGTCGTGTAGATAGGCCACTCCAGATGCCAGTTGTAATAATATGGTTTTCACTTCTGAAGCCAAGAATGGTTCTGGCATGTCTTCGAGGATGCTCTTCAGATCGTGTTCGACGAATTCGAGGACGAGGAAGATACTGCAGATCACGGCATTAGTACCGACCCCACTGAACAATGATGACTCCTTACTCACTTTTCAATCTTGCTCGTGTCTTCGCCAACCACCACTTCCTGCATTTTCACCACATTTCTGTGCTGGCAGTCTTTGAGAATCTGAATTTCCCGTAGGCCGGTGACAGGCAATCCATTGCGGTCTGTCGGCTCAATCTTTAGCCTCTTCAGTGCCACCACCTTGCCAGTAGCTAGCTCCTTTGCTCGCGCAACCCAGCCGTATGCGCCCTCCTCGATATCGTTCAGCTTGTCGTAGTTCTCCACGCTGCGCGCCTTGCCAAACGATCCGCCCTCGAAGCGCAGGAGCTTCGTGCCCTCCGTGCTCTCGACCGCAGGAGCCACATTGCTGGGCCGGCTGTCTCGTTCCGGCGTAAGCTTCCGTCGTTTCGCTGGGGGCCCGGCGGCCTGCTCGTCCTCGTTGTTCCCTTGCTGCTGTTGTCGTGCTGCTTCCGCCGCACGAGCTACGCGCTCGGCCTCAGCCTTGAGTGCCTTTTCGGCCTTGAGGCGCTTCTTCTCCTCCTTTTCTTGCTTGAGCTTCGCCTCCAGGGCTGCGTCTTCCTCGCTGTCGGCCCAGCGCGACTTGCCCTTACTCGCCATTGTGGGTGGTGTGAGCGCGCGGGTGAAGAGAGTTACTAGCTCATGTGTAAAGTTGCGACCTCTGCTAGAGGGATAGCGAGGTAAAAGAAAACCAATGTTTATCCTCTCAAAAACTTGAAATGATGTCAGGGTTCAGGCGTCCAGTTGGTGGTGGATTTTGGTGTTTTCGAGGCTGTCAATTGCCTGCCGGTTCCACATTGCCATCTGGTTGGCCGAAATCTTAAGCTCCAGCTTTAAAAGCTGTGTAACAGCTACCACTACACTAAGAATATATCTGCCGAAGCTGCTCAACCCCTCCGTCTGTTGCGCTCTTGACATGGCTATGCTATGAAACAGATCTCAAATGACAATTTCTAGATAGCACTGGCCGTAATGAGGTCGTTTGTACCTCGCGTCGCTCGCACCGGGCTGCGGGCGCTCTCGCAGCCTTTCGGCGTCTCACAGCTGAGAGCTCCTGCAAGCTACAGAAGCTTATCAGCTACGACGCTGAGGAGGAGTGACGAGAGACAGTGGTCCACTCCTCTTGCAAAACAGCTGGCTGATGCCATCTCAGTAAGTTTTAGGAACCTGTTGTGCGAGCTACTTGTTTTCTAACATTATCCAGCTAACTGGGCCAATACCACTGGCCAGCTATATGCGCATGTGTCTCACAGCTGATGTGGGTGGTTACTATACCGGTGCAATTCAGGAGGGCCGAGATCAGTTTGGCGTCAAAGGTGACTTTGTGACTTCTCCAGAAATATCCCAAATATTCGGAGAGCTTGTTGGTATCTGGTTTGTCGCAGAATGGATTACCCAGGGGCGACCGAAAAAGGGCGTAGAGCTCATCGAGGTTGGTCCGGGGAGAGGTACTCTCATGGATGATATGCTTCGAGTATGTTCTGTTGTCCCTCAAGACTCTCTAGAAATGTGGAGTTGACAGCCATTAGACTATTAGCAACTTTAAAGATATGTCTCATGCCATTGATGCCATCTACATGGTTGAGGCTAGCCCTGAGCTGAGAGTTGCTCAGAAAAATCTTCTTTGTGGCAAGGATGCTCCTATGACTGAATCTAAAGTTGGTTATCATAGCATTTGCAAATATACCTCACTACCTATTGTATGGACCGAGACTATACGTTCCATACCTTTGAGTAAGTCAATGTTTGTCCTCACGAAGCAATAAGCTGACAGACAGAAGACTCCAATAACATGCCACTCATCGTGGCGCATGAGTTCTTCGACGCACTTCCCATTCATACCTTCCAGAGTGTTTCTGTTCCCGCGACCCAGAATACCAAAGCCTCTCCATCAGATAATAGTTCCCTCTCTTCCAAGACCAGCACAGCAACGCTCCAATGGCGAGAGATGATGGTCTCTCCCACACCTCCAGGCTCTACACACGATAGCCTGGGCACACCGCGTTCTCAGCGCCACGATACCCCTCCGCCGGATTTCCAGTTGACTCTGGCCAACTCATCCACCCGGCACTCTCTCTACCTACCAGAGTCGTCGTCACGCTACAGAGCATTGCGTTCCACCCCAGACGCCATCATCGAGATATGTCCGGACGCGGCGCTCTACGCAACCGACTTCGCCGCGCGCATCGGCGGCTCCGCGCAGTACCCCAAGGACAAGCCGAGCGGTGCAGCACTCATCCTCGACTACGGCCCGGGTGACGGCACCGTGCCCATCAACTCGCTGCGTGGGATCCGGAAGCATCGCCACGTGAGCCCATTCGTCGACCCGGGCCTTACCGATCTCAGCGCGGATGTCGACTTTGCAGCCATTGCGGAGGCGGCGCTCAAGGCGAGTGAGGGCGTCGAGGTGCATGGGCCCGTTGACCAAGGCTACTTCCTCGAGAGTATGGGGATCAAGGAGCGAGCTGAGATGTTAATCAAGAGCCTTAGGGCACAAGCCGGGGAGGACAGCGCCAAGGCAGCGGACGTTCAGCGCGCCTGTACACGACTGGTAGATCGGGGGGTGGAGGGCATGGGAAAGCTCTACAAAGCGTTGGCGATTCTACCAGAAAACGACGGCAAAAGACGGCCAGTGGGTTTTGGCGGCGATGTTGGGGCATAACCAGGACACTTGAAGGCTGGACTTGAGATGTGCAACGTTCGTCTCAGATTTTTCTTTGAATCGTTCCCTAGCAATGCTCCAATGCATGCAATACACATGTCCAAACGCCCGATGTATATCATAGTGTACAATTACTCGCCTCTAACATACGCAACATTCTTCCTGTTCATTGAGCCTCAATCTAAGTCTTTCATTTCCTGCCCTGCCGGACGAGCCCTGCTTCCTCGCCCGAGTCGCTTCCGTCATCTGAGAACTTGTCACCATCCTCGCCAACTGCGAATATGGTCTCGCCGTCTAGGGAGTCGCGCGGTGCCTCTGACACCTTTCTCTGCTGGCTGCTGCTAGTGCCTGGGGGTGGCCCAGCGGGAGGCTCGTATCTAGCGCCTGCCGGCTGGCTGCTTGCCGTGGGCTTTGTACCAACTCTCGCCTCCTCGTCGTCGTCCGAGTCATCTGGAGCACCGATGTCCATGTTGGAGATCTCAAACGTGCCATCGTCATCCTGTGCGATTTCGTCGCTCATCGCGAAGCGCCGGTTGTTTGCGGTAGGGCGCCAAACGTAGGCGATCCAGGCCACATCTGCGAAATACACCAGGTTCAACCAGCCGTCCAGGACGAACCAGCGCGACTTCCAATGGAAAGGCACGTAGTCAGGGTCACTGGCGGAGGCAAAGGAGAAGCTGTTGAAGAAAAAGAATGCAAAGATGACCAGGATGCTGAGAAGAATGCACCACCACAGCTTCTTGTACATGGACTCCTTGGCGTGTTGCTTGCGCTCGCGTAGATCTTTGAGCGTCAGGTTCAAAGAGTTGAGAGTCCACACATAGAAAGCCGTCAAGGTTCCCGCCAGGGGTAGAACAATGAGCAGGACGAAGGGGCCTAGTCATGGATTAGACCTGAGAGCTTGGATGACAGATGAGAAAAAGACTTACCAGCACTGTCAGGGGTGATCAGAAGACTAGTGACTGCGTAGACCAGGCCAAACACGAAATGTGCGATTGCAAGCCACCGGACCCAGATCATAGTCCGACCAAGCGTGTGTTTCACGACTCCGTATCCCATACAGACAATCAAAAGCAGGAAGAAAGAGAAAGAGTTTCTAGCAGCGTTTAGAACGGCCACGACAATTAGCAGGACTTTTGATCCTATGCTTGCGCCATGTCTATTCAAAAAGTCTATTATTTGTCAGCGTATTTTAGGGACACAATGTTGGACAAGATACTCACCATAGAAACCCCAAGTCATGAGCATCTCCACAACAAGGAATAACAGGATAGCAGTGATGTAGTTTTGGACAGCCACTAGAGAGTGTTAGAGTGACGAGCAGGTTGGTTAAGGGTATACACACAAATATCGGAATGATGTTGGTAGTATAGGAAGCCCCAGAATCTGAGAACAGTTAGCCGAGATCTAGTACACGGGGAGTTTACGGAACATACACTGCAACCAATGCATAGAGAATCGTTATTCCTCCATAGAAAGGCAGCTTGGGGATCTGGGTTGCGGGTAATTCTCCATATGCGTTTCGGAACTCAACAACGGCAGTATAATCGGTCGCCGTATACTTGTCCGTAAGAACACAATAATAGCCCGTCTTCTTTATATCATATCTGATTGGTTGGCTATCCTTGAGATGGACAGCTCTCGTGAGGATAAGGTTGCTCGACTTCTCGGTGGCATTGGGCGTTAGGATGTACTCTCCAATATCAGTTTCGTTGCAATAACCGGGGACGTATTTCGGTTCGCAGATTCCGACTTTCTGAATGATGCATCAGCACTTCTCCTAAGAGTATACATGACATAAATGCACACCTGTTGAGCGTCCGGGCTGGGCAAGACGCCTATGAAGTTCTCGTCCTTCCATTCGAATATCACCATGCTCACAATAGGGTCCGCATCCGTCGTGACCGGGAGGAATTTGATCAGGATGAACGGATCGACCGGACCACCCCATGCAGAGCGACTGTACATGCCTATAGATACTACGTTAGTCTATGTCGCGTGTTTTTAAGGAGTGTCGAGAGTTTGGTCGCACCAGCGCATCGTTGGCGGTTCTCGTCGGTCTGGTCCTGCATTGGAAATAACCATTAGATTTCGACATTGTCAAGTAGCAGTGCTAACATACCATCTTCACTTCTAAGGCCTGCACTGTCCTCATGGACAGCGCCAGCAATAGAAGGACTGAGAGCCACCGCTTCATTGTGCCGTTGTTGTAGGGCTGGCCGTGAGCTGGAAGTCGAGTCCGACAAGTTCCCTAGTTCGAAATGGCCGCCGGTGCCAGCTTCAGACTATCATAAAAGTCCAGCAATATCGAAATGGCAAGTTGACGTAGATTCGTAATGAATGTCGGCTCCCTCGGATGCTTCAAGGCTGAAAGGGAGAAGTAGGGGCCAGTGGACATGTGGTTGAAGATAACAGCTGGATGCTTCCCAAACTCAAAGTAGAGTGTTGCGCAGCCTTGGCTAGCTTGGCACCCTCCAGTAGTGATTCGTATGCCAGGTGCCGCTAGTGCGCCACAGCGACTACTTAGGTATTTCCCAGGGGTCTCATTCGCTAATCGCAGACAGCTCGCTTTATCGATAAGAGCATTTTCAGGATGATTCTAAAACACCCCTTCCTATGACAGACCTTCCTGACTCGGTTCCTGCGCCTTCACAACGCCTCGTCAAAGATACTCGTCCGAGATCCTAGATCGACAACATGGGGAAAGGCACGGACAAGCTGTATATCACACACTCAGAGTGGTCGTCTTCAGATGCCTTCTCTGCCAGCACCGGCTCTCGATCGAAAGTGACCGGCGCATCGTTCAGGCGGCTGCCCTTCAACTTTTGCGCCGCTAGCCTCCAGCCGTTCAAGAACCCTGTCTGCACCCCCGACGGCACCATTTTCGATGTCGAAGTCATTGGCGCTTGGCTGGAGAAGCACTCGACAAACCCGGTTAATGGCGAGCCCCTAGCAGCCAAGGACTTGATCAAGCTGAACTTTGCGCGCAACGCCGACGCCGAGGTTGACGCCAATGCTGGGCCAACGGACGGAAAAGGCGACTTGATCGACCCCGTCACCTTCAAGGTTTTCACAGATAACACCCATATCGTCGCCATACGACATGGAAATTATGCGAACGTGTTTGCGTGGGAGACAATAGAACGAATGAACATCAAGGCGAAGATGTGGCAGGATCTGGTGGACGATAAAGAATTTGGACGCAAGGATATAATCACGCTCCAAGATCCTCAGAACGCTGCTGCGCGAGATCTGAGCCAATTCAAGTATCTCAAGGACGGAGAAGAGGCGTTGTTAACACCGGAGCAAGAGGAGGAACGGAAAGCAGGCAACGTCAATATTGATGCCCTAGGAAGAATAGGGGATAAAGTCTTGCGAGCAAAGGAGGCTGTGGAGAGGGCCAGGAAGCAGAGAGAAGCCGGCGGAGATGTCAATCGCTCGTCAAAAGCCTTGATCAAGGGCGGTGCGGCCGGTGCAGCCAGGAGTTCGGCGATACAAGAGAAAAAATTAGCCCACAATGCGGCAGCATACACAACAGGCAGGGCAGCGGCAAGTTTCACAAGTACAGGGTTAACGCCAGAAACAAGCGGCGAGAGAGCAGTGTTGACCGATGAGGAGTGGATGCTAAAGCCAAAACGAGTCAAAGTCAAGGGCTATGCAAGAATAGAGACGAACATGGGCGACATCAACATCGAACTACAGACCGAAACTGCACCCAAAGCAGTATGGAACTTTGTTAGGCTAGCTCAGAAGGGATATTACAGAGGTGTGGCTTTTCATCGAAATATCAAGAATTTCATGATTCAAGGAGGCGACCCAACTGGCACAGGACGAGGTGGACAAAGCATATGGGGAAAGAATTTCCAGGATGAGTTTGACGGTCCGCTCACGCATAGCGCAAGGGGAATGATTAGTATGGCAAACAAAGGCAAGAACACAAACTCGAGCCAGTTCTTCATCACCTACAAGCCTGCAAAACATCTGGACAGAAAACACACCATTTTCGCAAAAGTTGTTGGAGGCTTGGATGTTCTAGATAAGATGGAGGCTGTTCCGGTCGATAGCTCTAGCCGCCCTCTTGATGATATCATCATTAGAGACATAGTCGTCTTTCTGGATCCATTTCAAGAGTTCATGAAAGATAAAGACCAGCGTGAAAAAGCGGAACAGCAAAAAGCAGAGATTCAACGAAGTGGCGGCACAGAAGACGATAAGACGACCTGGACTGGAAAGAGGATACGTGAGGATGGGACCGTTGGTAAAGACAGCGCCGCAAACGGAGTCGGCAAGTATCTCAAAACAGCAATGGCAAATCAGACTGAGGGGACAGGCTTCGAAGATGATGAACTGCCTGTTGATACTTGGGAGCCTTCAAGGAAGAAGGCAAAGACGGGTGGTTTTGGAAATTTCGACAATTGGTAGAGGAAAACACAGACACAGCGTTTCTGGCATATAGATGTCTCATTCACTACACCCAACATTACTACTGACGTCCATTCCTTCCGGTCTCTGGCATACAACTGAGTTGGACGGCAGAGTATGATACTTGAGACGCTGTATCTAATATGTTCTACTAGGCCTGGGTTCGCCAAGTAAAATCTACATTAAAACGGTCAGAGACTCATGCTCTTGCTTGATGGATTCGCTGCTCCACTGCCAGCCTTCATCGTGAAGACGCAAAGGTAGCACCTGAGGGTCTGCAGCTGACGGATGAGTTGCAACGATGCCTGCCACAATTTTCGCTTGAATCAGGCCTGTCTCCTTGTGAATGGCTTGAAGTCTATCAATCGCATATTGACGCATCTTTGATGAACACACTGACGACATGCCTATGGTGTACAACGGCCAGACGATTGTGTTTGTGGCTGAAGCTAATAGCATGAACCGCTCTGCCTCCTCCTCGGGTGTTTTTGTCTGCGTTGGATCTATTAAATTCGGTCCTGTATGGCTTGTTGCCTGGTCATCCGAGCCGGGGCTGTCGTCTCTGAGAGATCTCGGTGAACCTTCTTCAAGCCGAGAAGCGGCTTCTTGCTCTTCAGCAGCTGTTATGGGAACAAGGCTATCCGCATAGTCATCCAGCGGGTTCAATAATCCAAAGTGCTGTGGCACACTTGCCGTGATCGCATGGGACAACCTCTCGAGCTTTGACCTGGCTTGTTGATACTCGTCTTCAAAACGATCAGATATTATGTCTGGCGAGTGAGTCCGAGCATGCCTGTCAAGCTCGCTGACAATCGTTTCCAGAATGAGCATTCGGCATGTTCTCAGGCCGTTCCATACCGTAGCGACCCACATGCTAGGATATATATGGCAGATGCCATTGAAAACAGCAGGGTGCCGCCGCGTGATGCGGTATGCACGAAATTGCCAAGATTCAGGAAAGGTCGATATAACATGCTCAAACTCGTCCTCAACATCCTTCAGCTTATCGATCATGTCCTCCAATTCTGTGACGTGTCCCTGCTTGATGTCATACCGGAGTTTCAAGACCTTATAGATTGGATTAGAAATCTCAATTCCTGGTTCCTTACTTTGAAACATTTTCGCCAAGTCATTCCGAAGATCAACTAGCGGTTGAGGCATTGGAAGTTCCTTTTGTATACAGCTAATCATTGTGTTTTGGCAGAGCATCATGAACATCCGGATACCAGCCTTTGTACGGAATTGACTCATGCCGCGAAGCTTTGCTAAAGCAGCTGCGCCGCTAATGTGCTCCTGCCATGCCTTCATAGTCCGTGGGCTTGCCTCTGTCATCATTTCGAACAGGCCGAGTATGAGAACTGACAGCATCGTTGTGTCCTTCACTGCCTCAACCGGATTTCTCAACGCGTTATTGGTCAGACGCAGCGCCGTGACATAGCTCTTTCTCGCTGATTCTAGTGTTGCTCTGGATTTTGTCATGTTGGCCATCCCTACCAAGCCTACTGCTGTCATACTGGCCAATACTCCATCAACTTGCTTCTCTGGTAGAAGCGAGATCGGCTTCCAGATGTCGTGCACAAAATCAAACCTTTGGTGGCAGGCATTCTCGTCTATGGTGACATAACGCGAGAAGAAGTACGCTGTACCACGTTCCATACAGGATAGGTTAAGATTGTATGTTAGGGATGCGGCAGGCGTGGAAGACCAACTTCCTGGATTGGCGGGCGGTAATACATGGTCATTAGACACACTGGCTCCCACCAGCCTCTCGGACTGAGAATCTAGAACAGCAACGGAAGCATGGCTGCCACGAGGCTTCGTCGTGGTTGTCTGCTGCAGGGTCGTTGACGCGCTGGATACCGCATCGGGCGAGGAGCCCGACTCGGCCGAAACCGCACTCTTCTTTCGGGATTTTGCCTTGGCCTTCTTTATCACATGAGAACTCTCATCTCGAAACATGAGATCGACGAGATTTCGGTATCCTGGACATTGTTGCTGTCTCTTCTCGGATTGACCACAGCCAGGTTCACGTTGGTCACACTATCAAATGTCAATTCTATATGGATCGGGGCTGGCCTCACAACAAATATGATTAAAGGAGCTGTACGAGCTCTGTGGAGTCCTCAGATCGCATCCCAGTTGGGGCGGAATGTGGGGGATGACCCAGCTGAAAGACGGATGTTTCCAGAAAGGGAAGACTTACACGAATTTTACGTTCCCGGCAGTTAGAGCAGCCTTTGGATGGTTTCCCACAGTATACCATCTTGTCGAGGGCGGTTGGTGCCGCGGAGAGCCGACGGGGTGCCGGATTGTCCTTTTAGAAACTCGGAGATCTTTCAGCTACTCGCACTCGCTCATGCGTCGGGCTGCCGCAGTGGTTTCCACCCGGAGTATCGTGCTTCGGTGAGCGGGGTCTTGGCGTTTGAACGGGTGTCAGAGTATATCAAGATGGTGGGCTCCCTGGGAGGAGTTTGATTCAACTTGATTCTCTCCAAAATCCGAGTCTTTGCTACGATTGCATCCGCCTCCAGAAGTCTGCTTCGTTTGGGACCCAATGGACTGAAGAGCCGACGGGACAGTCTATACATATTCCGCCCTCTTCCCCCGGCAACTTGTGCGCTACGGCCATTTTATTGCCTATGCCCTCATCGAGAGCAAACCGGAATCGCGACTAGCTAAGAACCGCTTGTAACAGCTTTCTCCGAATAGCTGACGTTGACTAAACTTGAGACACCACGCCATAAGCAGTGCACAGCCCCGTGTTGACGACTCACCCTGCTGGCCCGGGCCTCAATGTCTTCGACGATATCCAGCGAGTGCCGATCAAAAAGGCCGCTGACCTTCTTTGGGGGAAAATTAACAGTGGTGATGCAGGTGGTGCAGGGGTCTTTCCTATCTGGGATAGCTGTGCGAAGCTGGTCCGGCGCCGGACTGGACCGTTTAGAGCTCTTTGGGACAGGCCTCGACATGGGAATAAAAGCTTATTTCCACTACTGGGAACGCTGACGGCCCATTATTCGCTGCTCACCAACCCCAACGTCTAAAAACAGACACAATGGCGCTGCGATGGCTTCAAGCGACTTGGCTTTGACTGATAACGGCCTACTAACGCCGAATCGCCCCCGATTCTCTCCTCTTGTCCTGCCCCTGTACGTATTTCAAATACGGCCCTGTCAGTGCCCCCGCGCCGACTTCTCTCGGTGCAACAGACAGCCCCCGATTGAAAGACGTCAACCATTTATACCGTCCCGACCCCAAACTAGAGAGGAGGCCTCAAGCCCTGGCCGCCATGGATGATCATCCCGCCTTTCTGCACAAAAGCGCCCGCGAAATCCTCGGCATCTCGGAGGCTCTTTGGGGTAATTATCCCATAATGCTCCCGGATGAGGTCAGCATTTGGAGTGCATCGACTGAAACTTGGGACAGGAACGAGGCTCTTTCAAAATAGTCTCGTTCTTAGTCACCTATAACATAAGCCACCGGCGAATGTCCGGGGAGCCCACCCGGGTAAGGTTATCGGCTGTCCAACATCAACTCCCGACAACCCTGTCTCGCGCTTTTTTACGGTTTTCCGTTAATCAGGAGGCTCTGCAGATAACTCAAGCATATGGTGATGCAACGATACATTCTTGGCATAAGAGGCCAGTATCGCCCCGCGGAGTTGCTCATGTTGCAGCCTGTCTAGTGGCAGGATTCGAGCAGCCTAGGTTTCATAAACATCGTTGCTATAACCTGGAGGAGATCACCGCGAGGGCCAACAACTATAGGGCTCGGCCTTTGTCAGCATTAGTCTTCATGCTGGAGCCAGCGAAGCCCTCGACGAGATTCGATATCGGCGATTCGCGATCGCAGGATACGACTTGGCATGCCTTCATTCGGACCGCGAGAGCTCTTCGAGCCTTGATTTAGATTTGCTGTGGATCGATGTGTCAGCGTGTGACGCAATGAGCTCACAAGCAACAAATTCGTGCTCGGCGTCATGCAACGATATCACAGGTGCTCAAATGGCTCCTTGACCTTTATGGTACTAGATTGCCAGTTTCTACGGGACTGTGACTTGCACTCCCATACTTCCACGCTCGCAACCTTCGAATGACCTGAACTTAAGTGCCTCCATGTTTCGCTTCAATAGAAGGTTATTGACGCGATGTTCAACCAAAGCTCTGAAGCTGCCTAGTGCGAAAGCCATTACGAAATCAAACTGCAAGTATGTTGCATATATGGGCTATACTCATTCATACCATCTCGCCCAGGCGCAGAACTCATATTGGCAGCGCAATATTTAGCATGGGCCACTATAGCTAAGACCCAGAGGATGTTTTGAATACCACCTTGTATGTTCATGATGGCTTTCACAGAGGGCGGTAGAAACCGGACATCCACCTGTAAGCCCAGACGTGAAGGCTCGGGCAAGGCGAAAATTGCAGTGAGAGTACCGACATCCCGTCACCGATAGAGATATTTGGCTAGCGTTCTCAGCAATTGAATTCCAAGGAAGTCTCAACGTGTAATACAGGGCTTGTTCCCTTATGTAGTCGCTGAAACAGTTACAAAGAGCGAGGCACGAACACGACTGACTACCTGCCCTTGATATATCAGTTACACTAACTGTTACTGTCTGCTATCAGAATAGAGACGGAGTACACCAGACCTTCTGATGGATGCGAACATGATGGTTTCTCAACTATATCTGGCAGGCTAGATAAAATATGATTTCTTGATTCTGCCGAGGGTTGAGTACAACGAATCATGTCTCAGAGAGAAGATCAGAATTCACAGGTTGGTGACAGAACAGATCTTTACCAATCCTGAAGTTGTCCATATATGGCGGGGTTGCTTTGAACTGCGCGCCGTTCCGCATGAATCAAGCCATCGGCTTTGGGGGCTGGTCAGGTACACGTCCCCTACCTACCTATGGTAGCAGAGGACGACGGAAACACAATATTTTGGGTATACTTTGACACAAGGACCATTGACCAGTTACACCCGGCTTATTGGGTTCAAACATTCGGACAACGGTTTCTAGTCACTTGATATCAGGTATAAGAATGTGGCAAAGTGGGTTCAAGCTGTGCCGCACGAATAAACGCAAACGCGACGAAGCGACAAACGAGCTCAACAAGTGCAACTATACCTATAGAAAAACCTACTCCGGAGACACCTATCATTCATTTTTGCCCTGAAGAAATGCTAGGCATTTATGGAAGCCGAAACAGAGTAGCTATTGAGGGACATTTCACCTGATTTCCTATCCTTCCTACCTACTTTGGATGGTATCACAGAATCTGGCAGGCTTGCACAGTTGAATATTTGTCCCACTTGAACACACCGGCAATTATTCGTTTCGCTATCAGGACTTACCTACCGTTTAAGATGATAGCATTGTCACCCACAAAGCTGCAGGCCTTGAGGTTTTTAAAAGGACGATCTGCATGAGCTATCTTGCTGCCTGACTAACTTTGTAAATATATCTTCCAATGTCCACTGCAGCTCCTATCATGCTGCCGACCACCAGGGATATCCATCCTCCCAGCGGTAGGGAACCAATCGATCGCCAAGAAGGAAACTAAAGAGACCCGTCGGCGCCGTCTCACAGGGGAGTCTACAGGAAACTCTACAGGGGTGCCCTACAGGGCTGTGCCAAGAACCCTGGTACGGGGAAGATTGCTGTCACTAAGTACCTCGCATTCGCCAATTTTGCCATTTCAGGCCTTGAGCCGTCCCAGATCCTCAACGTCTTTCTGCACCATGCAGTAGGCTTAAACGCGGTCGTCGTTGTGAAGGACCAATTGAGTTGAGATGGCGCGCACGAGGCGTCGAAGCTGGACTCAATCACATCGACGAGGCGCGGCACCTCTCTGCCGGACTCACCGTACAAGTGCAGCGCTCGTTCATCATGGCTCCTGCAATCTGCACTCTGCGGACCTGAAGGAGCCTTCGGGGAGAAAAGAGAGAGAGAGAAAGAGGGGGCGGGCCGACTCGAGCGACGACGATTCGCACACCTGAACGATGGATTCAATCTTCTCCTGCACGTCTACGTCCTTTGAGTGGACAGAAGGATGCCCGACGGGGGATCACAGACTCTTATCGTCGTCGTCCGCTTTGTGGGTAACCAGGCGAACTAACCATGTCGTTGCACCGCCTCCCAACTCATGAAACTGGTCAAGGGGCCGCCCATTCCTACGACTCGCGCGCCGGGGCAGCGCCAAACGCTAGGATTAGGCGCAAGCTTTCGCTAACGAAAGCGATAACGATCGTCGCTTTCATATGGCGGCTTGCTTCAACACGCATGCCTCATATGGGTATATATATATAAAATCACTGCTCCAGCTGAACCCATTCAGTTTCGGCCTTTTCAGCATTGGCAGTAGCAACCTCAAGTCCAACGACTCTTCACTCTAATCAGGCGGCTTTTTGCTGGTAATAGGCGACTGGCCTGCTTTCACTCCCAACCTCTAATATCCCCAATTAGGACATCATTATTCAAAACAAACATCCACTATGGCGATATCTCAAGTCAACCAGGTCGCCATTGCCCAGATCTGCGTCTACGTTCCGGCCCTCGCCATCGCCATTGTGCTCGCTCTTAGACACGGCTTCCGCCGTAGCTCAGGCTGGCTCTACCTGATTCTCTTCTGTCTCATCCGTGTTGTCGGCGCCTCGATGCAGCTGGCCACCATCAACGACCCCACCAACTCTGACCTCTACGTCGGTGCCTTTACCCTCAACAGCATCGGCCTGTCTGCTCTCATCCTCATCATGTTGGGCCTGACCACCCGCCTGTCACAGAGCATCCAGCAGAGCCAGACCCTGCTCATCAACCCTCGCAGCCTGCGGCTCGTCCAGACCGTAGTCATGGTTGGTCTCATCCTGGGTATTGTCGGCGGCACCCAGATGGGGGACCAGATCTCAAACATGTTCAAAAACCCCGGCCAAACCACCTACGACGTGCCCCAGCTCAGCAAAGTCGGCGTCGGGCTCATGATCGGGGGCTACGGCATCCTGGTCATCGCCAACGCCAAGCTCGGCACGCAGATCTCGCACGCAGAGCCCGGCGAGAAGAGGGTCCTCATCGCGATCGCCGCCGCCATGCCATTTGTGCTCGTCCGGCTCATCTTCTCGGCCATGGCCACGTTCACGACCAACAGAAACTTCAGGTCCTTTGGTGGCAGCCCGGACTACATCCACTACTTCATCGGGATGGCTGTCGTGATGGAGATGGTCGCCATAGCGATCTTCGAAGGCGTGGGCTTGACGCTGCAGAAGAAGCCAGTGAAGAAGGGCTACACGGTTCCGATGGGTAATCGTGTGCCGCAACAGGGACAACCGCAACAGCCTCAGCCGTATCAGTCGCAGTATCCGCCCCAATCGCAGCAGCAATGGGGGACTCGTCAGGCAGAGCACGTGTAAAATATGACTTAAGTAAGGGATGACCAAAAAGGGAGTTCTTGTAGATACCCAGGATGTGTGCTTGAATTTTGGATCATAAGTAATCATACGTAATCTTTAGTCGAATAGTCAAACCTAGACTGCTGTGCTGAACCACTTTGATGCTCGAAGAAGAGAACCCACCGTGAGCAAAACAGCACGCTAATACCCGTATAAACTCCCGTCCCTTCACGGCAACAATAGTAAGCATAAAATTCCAATAATGCGCCGATCGTGTCAATGAGCTCTATGCCGCAATCTTCTCCACAATTTTTTACATCATCGCCTCGCGGGAGCCTCCAAGTCATAAACCAAATCCTGAGAATATGTGAAGATAGTCTCGCCGACACTCTTCTAGTTTTGGTTCACAAAGGTCTTGGAGATTGTGTTAGTCCATGCTTGGAACTTCCACTCCTCGATGACGCGGCCCTGCGCCGAGGTTGGCTTAAGCCAGTGCTTTGTCGAAGTCAGAATCGAATGCGGCATCACCACCTTCTGCCCCAGGTAGAAATTGGCCCAGGGGTTTTTAGGACTGGTAGTCAGCAGCATTGTTTCCATCTCGTCAACGTATGCCAGACTCCTCAACTCCGCACCCAGACGATCCGTTGAGATGGCGCTTCTCAGACGGGAGGCCACCGCGAGCATTCCGAGGCTGGCGGCATCGAGCTGCATCTTGTGGTCCCTCTCCACCGATGACCATTCACTTAGAGGAGTTGTGCGTGCCAAGAGGGCGAAACCGTTTCGCCATTTCAATATTGCCTTTTCGATCTTGTGCAACTCGGCCTCTGTGCTATTCAAGACGTCGGTGCTGACCGTGTCCGGTTGTAGCACTGCCCTTGCTACAGCGCTGAAGAGACGAGGCAACGAAGCACACAGCAGAGACAGGCGCACGTATGTACGACTTTGTGGAGTGAAGAGGTCGTCTTTGTTGGCAGCGGACAACAATGCCAGCTGCCAGGCAGGTTCTTCAAAAAAGCACGGCTGGCCCAGCCGGAGGCATTCACATATCTTTATCTCAAGAGGTCAGCACAGTATTCCGAGCCAAGTTAGAAAGACTTGACGAACAAAAGGTGCCATCAATGACAGCAAAAGGCTTTTTTCGAAGTCGCCATTGAAGTTATCTGGTCCACGCATTTTGATAATGAGCATAGCGCCAGATATGTGCTTTTCCCAGGCACTAGTGGCGGATGGGAAGTCGAGGAGCTTAATGGAGTCAGCATTACACATACTGAGCCTAGTAAGGATCAGCTCAAGGCATACCTCATACATGCTTAGAATGTGGACGGTACACAGGGTATCCGGATTGGACCAGCGGGAGCTGTCATCGACTGCCGTCTGGAGGCTCTGCAGAGCTTTGCCGTACAGCGACAGCTCTACTGCAGTTGGGGCGACATAGTCTGGAACCAGGAAGCGCTTGGCTTTCATGGCTACGCAGCGGATGGCATCATCGAGACAAGGGGTAGTTCCATATCTGCGAGGTAGATACGATAGAAACGACTCCCTCCGTCGACTGACAAGCTTGTTAAGTGTTGCCGGGTTCTGGGAGAGTATTAGGCCGGCTGCATGGCCCATGTGAACATGTGCCAACTCATTCAGGTCGAGGAGATTGACTCCGGTTTCCACAGTGAGGCGCTCTACGCCCGAGACAGGCATGGGGGCGGCTGGAGAGCCCAGAGACCGAGCTGGTACCAGGGACGAAGCTCCAAGGCTGTCAAAAGGGACCGGGTACATGCGGACAACCTTCTTTCTCGTTGCTTTCGAGCCTTGACGGACCACAATACCCGCTTCGCCTGCCGACTGATGCTCCGGCAGCTGACTGTCTCCAGGCAGGCTATTGGGCTCGTCGTGAGTCCTCAAGCCTCTAGACTGGCGAGCAATTCGCTTTCCCCACGTGGCTGATTTCTTGCGATCGACTGCTATGTCGTGCATGGCCCGCACTCGAATTGTCTTGCGCGCCGCATCGCTTGGAACCCGGCCGCCGGGACCCAACTCAATCCAACATAGCTCGACTCCTGACATCGTAGCTCGTCACGACCCGAGGTCTGAAACTCGTGTAATTGAAAGAGATGATGGCATAGGGCAGTCTAGACCCTGACTCACAGGGCTGGGACCATTATCTTCATATGGTTAGTTGACCGGCGAAGATAATATTGAGTGGCGGCGTACTACCGCGCCTGCAACTTTATTGATCTGCTTCAAAGCCACCGACGTTGGTGTACAATCATACCTAACAGGATGATCTTCGCGGGGTATCCCAGTGCCATGGATGGATGCTACAGCCCACTAGAGCTCCGATATCCGACGTAAAACGGCCAGTCATCGGCTCATGCTGGCGGTTTCCACGATTTACCGACGGGCCGGTAGCGATCATCGTGATCAGCATGCCTTATATTCCAAGGGGCGAAAGGAGCGATTACTGAACGATAGCAAAAGGCAGCAAGTAGAATCAGCTCGAAAGAATGGCGAAATTGGCTCTTCTAATCACTCTCTCTGTTCAAGGAGCTACTTTAGGTACGGGTGATGATGCTTGGAGGACAGAGCTTCTATTGTCCCTAGATTCTGGTGACCCACATGTGCAGACACCCATATCAATTCTCATCAGCCAAAATTCCCACCAATAATGAGTATATTGTTGTCGAGGCTGTCTAACCTAGGTGGGGCTGAACCTTTATTATATCAGCATCAGAAAAAGGGGAACAATACATTGACCAACTGTTAGTATAACATTTCTTGTGCCTTGTTGTCGATGTGGAGTGCCACTATCTACACAGGCATATGACATTTATCCTATATAACAAGGTTGGATAAGCGAATTTTGTGAAAATTGAAGGCAAGATGGACGGGTTGGTCTAAGGTGGTAGAGTGGGTGGATCCACCAAAAATTCGGGGAAACACACTGACTCTTAACAGCTCAAGAAATCTTCGTGATATCTTTACCCTTTGACAAAGGGGGGAAATCCTACTCTCGCAAGAGGCATCTTGCTCTTGTCAATTTTCTCTTTTGTCTCTGGCTTTCTTTTCTTTTTAAAATTTCTTCCAACCCAGTGTAGGTTTTTCAAGTAGTGACGTCGTCGTTTGAGGAGTTGCAGGTGGTATAGGAAAGTCGTGGCCAAAGAAATCACCCTTGGAAGGGTCCCTACGACAAGTTATAACTAGCAGCCCCGCCGACCCTTGCCTCCACAGACGGCCTTACAATTGAGTACTTCAACCCCTCATAACTTTACGCATCTCTACAGTAAGAAAAATTGTCAGTAGAGATGAAGGGAGATCTATTACCATCACCATGCCGGTAGGATTCAAAATTTTCTACACGCTTCCAACCCATGGAGGTCTAACGTCTTCACAATAGTTAATCATCATAACGGGCCTTCCCACCTCCGGCAAATCCACCCGCGCAAAGCAATTACACAGCTTCCTCTCCGAGAAGATCAAGTCTCAGCCTGATCCTCAGGACGCGACCAACAGCACCACTCCAAAGTATCGACTGCACCTAGTGTCCGACCAGACGCAGTCCATAGACCGTGCTGTCTACGATCTGTCACCTGAGAGGCTGCCAGCGCACACCCGCTCCGCCAATGCCTCGGAGAAGGATGCGCGCGCCGCGCTGTACGGCGCAGTCAAGAGGGTGCTCGGCCCGCGGGACATCGTGATCCTCGACGGCCTGAATTACATCAAGGGCTGGCGGTATCAGTTGTACTGCGAGGCAAAGAACGTGAGCACCCCCAGCGCCGTGCTCCAGGTGGGATGTACCAGGGAGCGCTCCAAGGCTGTCAATGAGGAGCGACTGCGGAAGCGAGCCGCCGGTGACGACGGTACGGCACAAGAAGACGAGGCGGAAGCACCCTACGAGCAGGCCAATTGGGAGAACCTGGTGTTTCGGTACGAGGAGCCCAATGCGATGAACAGGTGGGACAGCCCGCTTTTCACTCTAATATGGGAAGACGATGAGGAGCAGACGCGCAAGATATTTGATAATATATGGGACTCGATTGCTGGCGATGGCAGGAAAGTTGTCAAGCCAAATCAGGCGGCGATGCAGAGGGGCAAAAGCGCCGGCGGTGACTACCTATATGTGCTTGACAAGGAAACCCAGGACATCGTCAAGAAGATACTGGAATTGCAGGGTGAGGATGGCGGGGCAGAGGTCAGGATAGCACGTGGAAGTGATGGAGAGGATTTCATCGTCGAGCTCCCGGGAAAGAAGGTTGGTTTACCTCAACTACAACGCCTGAGGCGAGCATATATTGGCATGAATAGGGGAGGCATTGGATTAGAAGGTGTTGGGCACCTGGCTGTCAGTAGGATACGGGAAAGCTTTGTGGGCTACTTGAATGATGCATTTGAAAAAGACGAGTAGCACGTGTTCAAGACAAGAACAATAGAATTGATACCCCTTCAACAAGACAAACAGAACTGTGATGGTAGTGGCTGCCTTCATCAACTCCTCACATGTGAAGACCAGGGTTAGGGTTACCCTCCTGCAAACGCCACATAAGCTCGCGCCACATCCAACTTCCAAGTTCCCGCCGCGACAGCTGTTCTATGCAGTAAGTCAACAGCCAGAAGTATACACGAACCAGAAATTCGCGACCGCACCCATACCAAGTGTAAGTCCAACTACGGGTTTACTTTGGACAGTTGGTGGACAGCAACTCGGCGCAGTAGACAGTCGGTGGACAGTAGTGGACAGCAGCATTATTCAAGCACGAACACTGCGAGTTGAGGACGAGCAAATTGAGTACAGAGGGCGATCTGGTTCAATATGGCACGACTGTCGCAAGATATGCTCAGCCCGAGCCCCGTAGCCCGAGGCGTTGATCCGATGACCGATCTCAATCGACTTCTGAGTCGGCTTCAGCAAAGCGTCCTGCGCGCAGACGCCGAAAGGGAACGACGGCTCAGGGCAAGCGAGTATGAGAGAAACAAAGTGGGCGTGGTATGTTGCCCCAGTCCATCCGTATGCCATTTGAAAACTCGCTGATCTTATTTGGGTAGAATATCGATTATGCGCGAACGCTTCTCACGAGAATGGAGCAGGATGCCCTTTCCGTAAAAGTGCACTCTCGAAGGCAAGATTTACAAGGCGACCTTAACCGAAAACGGGAGCTACTGGAGCAGTTGACGGATAGGATGAAAGACCTAGAACAGATGAGCCTTGAAGAGGAGGACGATAGTTCAGATGGAGAAGACATCCTAGCCGAAATAATCGCCACGCCGAGCGAGAGTATGGACTCCAGATCGACAGACCTCCCCGCAATAGACACAGAAGCAGAAGAGGAGGAGGAAGTGAATCCGACGCCGGCTATAAGAAAGCAATCGCCAACGCCTGCACCGGTAGCACCTGAGCAGGAAAAGGAACCCATCAAAGAAAAGGGGCCTGGAGGGGAAACCCTCCTGCGGGAGTCAGAAGTTGTCACTTCACAGACCGTGAGGTCAAGGGGCAAGCAGCCAGAGATAGAATCTGAAAAGGAAGAAAATACTGCCCAAACTACAGGGGCTGCGGCAGCTCTATTTGGCAACCGTACACAGACATCATTGTCTGCAGCGACGACAACTGAAGCAATATTGGACCATCAGAGGCAAGAACAGGACGAACTATCGGAGTCGATTCTTAAAATGGCTGAGGATCTGAAACAATCTTCATTGCAATTTGCCGAGGCTCTGGAAGAAGACACCGAGATTCTCTCGAAGGCCGGAGAAGGTTTAGATAAGAACGAGCGAGGCCTAGACGCGGCAGCGCGCAGGATGAGCACGCTGACAAGAATGACTGAGGGTAAGGGGTGGTGGGGGAGAGTGATATTATACGCTTGGGTCTACGGATTGATGCTATTTTTGATCGTGTTGGTGTTTGTTCTCCCTAAACTGCGATTTTGATTATACTGCAAGTTGACAACTGGCCGCGCTCTAACAAGAAATTGGTCACATATGAATCGGTGTTATGGATTGGCTCTGATAGCGCGACAAAGGTTTCGGAAATCATAGGCACATAGCGAGGGAGTTACGAGTTCCGAAAGGGTCTATTGCGCCAGTTTTACCTAGGTATACTCTATCTCTCCACCATTCTCATCCATGGTCCGCTTTCGGTCCCTGTCTAAGGCTATGTAATGCAAAGTAATCTGGGCCGAATAAATGAAATCGAACGTGTAGCAAATCTGAGTATGTTGCGAGTCAAAGCTCTGAAAGTATTAGGCAAACGCGGCGGTTACCACGCACTATTGGTGTAATACATCACGCCTGTAGACTCCTCTAGTCGACTACCATCAAGGGTCGGGTAACTGGCCGCCAGGTGCTGAATGCTGGATTTAGCCAATATGTCCTCGAACTGACCTGGCTCGCTTGTATTCTCACCAGTGGAGCCAGGAGACAGAACCGCTGGTGCCTTCTCCAAATAGACATTGCCCGTACTTGCCGCAAGCGTTGTTTCGGAGATTTCAGCAATGCGAGGATGAACACACTCCTTCGCCTCTTGGAGCTCTCCATCAACCTCAACAGGCACCTTGTTGATGGAAATGATTTGATCCTCTTGATTGTGATGTATGACTTCAGCCTCCTCCATAGCAGAGTCTTCGTCACGAGGCACGTCGAGGTTAGGCAGTTGTGCTGTGTGCATATGCTGCAAACGATAGTTGTCAGCCTCAATTGTACGAGCCGAACTCTTTTTGGTCTGAATACCAGAGCTCAGGATTCTGTCAGATGTTCCAGGTAAATCAACCTCAAGAGTAGATTTGACCACTTCATCCACGAGCATCTGCACGATCTCATCAACGATCTCACACTGCATCTCTTCGAGAGTTGCCTTGCTGCGCTCGCTGTTGACGAGTATTTGTGTAGGCTGAAGTCTAGTTGTAGCATGCTCGTCCGGAGCGTCCGGAGCGACCTGTATATTGTCGAGTTGCATCTCCGTATCAAGACCTCCGCTGCTAGCCCCTAATGCCGCTTGCGCATTGTCAACAACGCTGGGTTGGCAGATGAATCTCGCATACTTTCCAGTTACAACACCGACAGGTTTGCCTCCAGTCTGTTTTTGATTAGCATGCCTCATTCTAGGGAATAACGAGTATGTTACACACCGGAGGCGTATAGTGGAAAGATCTGGGGCCTTTCGTGCCAGCCTCCGCCAGGCGAGCCATCCAGTCGATATTGGTCTTCTTCAAAAAGAAGTCCTGAAACTCTTGGAACGCGACATCGAACTTTTTGTCGCATGAGCTAGAGCGCATGTGAAGGGGGTGGCTGCCTTCCTTTTGAAGATATTTGGCAGCAAATGCGTAGGAATGCGGTTTCGCGTTAGACTCGAACAACTTAGAAGCCGTTAGCACTTCTCAACAACCAGAGTATTACAAAGAAAACATAACAGCTGATAAAATAGAGAGGAGAGACAATTAATCACATACATAGAGAAAATAGCGTTCATTGAGTTTCTTGTTCTCGGGATGATCAGGGTTGACTCTAACGAGCTCCACCTCATAGCGGAAGTAGGTCTTATCGGAGTAAGTATGGTAGAGATCTGAACGACCGTCAGGAATGCATCTCATGACAATAAAATATATTTCTCTTACCCTTGATCACGAAGTTCTCGGGCTGCTTCTTTGGCTGAGCAGCTTTCAGCGCCTTGATCTCCTTTGCATTCTGGGCTCGCTCGGCTCTGAAGGCCGTCTGCAGCAAGTACTTGGTCTCTTTCAACTTCCGCTTCTTGTGAATGCTGTCCTCGAGCCAATCGCTGGTGACAATGTGGCAGGACTTCTTGAGATTCTTGAGTGCATATGCAACTAGCAAGCACCCAAAGTTAGGTCTATGTAAATCCGAGGTATATCAGACGAAAGGGGCCGACATTACCTTTGGAGCTCTTCCTCTTGAAGTCCTCCATGCTGCAGAGCAAGTGAGTGACAGAGCCATCCATCTGCTGAACAATAGCGCCGTCGCGCTGTTTGATCCATCGCAGAATGTCATCCTCAGACCAATCGCGGCCGAGGTCGCCAGAAACACACGCGACAATGCCTCTAAAAATGGGCTTCTCTGCCTTGTTGCGCACCATCTTGAAATGTATGTGAATGATGTTGGGTGCAAAAGATGGAATGCTACTGTAGGCGGAAGATGAAGAATAAGTTGATATCGGAAGGGAAACGATGCAGTCGTAGAACCGACAAGAGAGCTAGTTCCGCAATTTCAAATCGTTTCGTTGAAAACTAATGAAAAAGAATCGCCCCCGGCGAAGCTTCCTAGAAGAAGTTGAGTGAGCAAGAGGCAATCTTTTTGTGACGAGAAAGGAAGGCACCCGATGATGGGTGGTATAGAAGACGCCACTCAGGGCAATCAGGGGACGAGGATTTATGGAAACTGAGGTGGAATCGAGGACGGAGGATTTTCCAAGGAAACAGGTATCTATTGGATTTTTACGCTTGATTTTGTGTCTTTGTGGGTTGGAGTCTATCGAATAGCTTTTGCAGCCTTGACAAACCCCCTGATTTTCTCTAAGCTTTGCTTTCCACCTTCCTCTACACCGCTGCTTACGTCGACACCAATTATCCTATCCGAAAGGGGTCCTATGGCCGCAATGACTTGCTTTACGTTGTCAGGGGTGAGACCGCCGGCGAAGAGCACCCTCAAGTCCTTGTCGTTCTCCAGTTGCTGTCGTACGAGTGAGAAGTCAAGGAGATCACCAGAGCCCGAGCCGGAATCTAGCAATGTGATTGTATGGTAACCACGAAGGCCGACCCCCGGCTCTCCCGGACCAAACTTGTGGATGACGGGAACAGGTATGAGGCTGGCCCATTCCACAGGCTCCTTTCCGTGGAGCTGAACGACATCAAGGTTGTAGAGTTTCTGCTTCTCTAAGACTTCCTCTAACGGCTGATTTTGAAACACGCCAACAACAAGAGGTCCCCTGCTAGTGAGGGTCTTCCGGGCTGAACGAAAGAAATCGATTGCCACTTTTGTTTGTTCTTTTGAATTAGAGTATGTCGAGGCTGGGGCTTGAGTTTCGTGGACGGCTTTCGAAATTGCGATGGCCGTCTCGTCCGATACGCAACGTTTCGTTCCCGGCACAAGGATCATCCCAACCAAGCTCGCGCCGGCTTTCACTGCCTCGACTGCTGCTTCGGGGCTACGGGTCCCGCAGATCTTCACAATCAGTGGTTCAGTCGCAACTTTCGGGAGAGGTGCCGTAATACCTGAGCAGAGTTCACGAATAAATTGTGATGCATCCGGGGCTCGCATTATCGCCTCGCCAACAAGAACGGCGTTCACGCCGTCGTTCTTGCAATCCACTACATCCTTGTGGCTGTTGATGCCGCTGAGAGCACATATGATGACGTCTTTCGGCACCATGCTTCTCAGACTTCTTGTTGTACCTAAGTCGACCTCAAATGTCTCCAAGTTACGGTTATTCACGCCGATTACCTTTGAGCCGAGCTTGACAGCGGCCACCATCTCCTCTGCATTTTGGACTTCCACCAAAGGCTCCATCCCGAGCGAAAGAGAGTATTTGTACAGGCGCTCGAGCAACTCAGAGTCTAGCATCTTGACGATAAGAAGAACAGTGTCGGCGCCGGCCAGTCGAGCCTCGAGTATTTGATATTCGTCAAAGATAAATTCCTTTCGAAGGATGGCTGGGCGATTCGGCATGCCATTGAGACATTGCCTCACGGCGCGCAGATCTTCAATACTTCCCTTGAACCAGTCGGGTTCGGTGAGAACTGAGATAACACTCGCGCCTGCAAGCGCATATTTCTTGGCTTGCGATGGGGCATTTGTGTCGAGGGCAAACACACCCTTGGATGGAGATGCTCGCTTGATCTCTGCCATTAGAGCAACGTCGAAGGGAGACTGATGCAACCGCTCAACTAGCGGTATCTGTGGTGGTGCGCAGTTGAGATTGTATGCAGCCTGGAGATCCTCGAGCCGCTGTGATGGGACCAACCTCTGAGCTGCCACGGCCTCCTTTCGACGGGCATAGATTTGCTGAAGGATGTTGTTCTTCTTTGCCCCTTTTGACACTCCGTTTGGGGCATCTTTGGCGCCATTTGTGGCAGCCTCTTTCTGCAGTCGCTCGTTCTCCTCCCAGGTGCCGGACTGCATGTGCAGGAAGTTTTTGATCATGAGTCGGCCATCGGCAGACAAAATACTCTCGGGGTGAAACTGAACACCTTCGACGGTGTATTCCTTGTGACGGACACCCATGATGACGCCTTTGGAGCCGTCCTCCCTTTCGATCCAGGAGGTCACCTCAAGGCATTTGGGGAGCGTCACATGGGTGCCAGCCAGGGAATGGTATCTGGTGACTGGCAGCTCCTGTGCAAGGCCAGCGTACACGCCCTTGGCATCGTGGATCAGGGGCGAGGTCTTGCCGTGGAGAATTTCTCCAGCAGAGCTGACATCTCCACCATAGACATCAAATATGCATTGTCTAGTTTCTGAGTCAGACACAACGATCATCTTCTACAGAGCAATTTGCCCGAATTAGACTTACTGGCCCATGCAGACGCCGAAAATGGGAATCTTGCCGGCGAAATACTGGATGGCGTCCCGACTTATGCCCGAGTCAGTGGCTGGATGGCCGGGACCGGGGCTTATGACCAGCTGGGTGGGCTTCTTTGCGATGAGCTCCTCCAACGAAACCTTGTCGTTCCGGAAGACAGTGACCGTTGCACCCTCAAGGACGAGGTACTGGTAGACATTCCAGGTGAAAGAATCATAATTGTCAATTAGAATAAGATTGGAAGCTGTGGGAACAGGCGGTGACGGCTCCGGGTGCTTTGGCGAGTGGTCGATGATGTCCAACGTGGCGGCCATCTTGATCTTGGAGTGCAGGACTGCCGTCCAATGGCCCAGTCAAGCTCAATAGAAGACAAGAAACGACGAGCAGTGCTGGAATCTAGACAAACCGCCGTCGTCTGGCTGTGTAAAAGGCGAATTGTCGTTGCCAATGGGCATGAGTCACCTGTCTCGAGATGAAGCGGCACGGCTGATTTATAAATTCTCAAAACTGTCGGAACTAATGGCACACTGGCTCGTCAATTGATGGAGGGGCAGATCTAGCTAAGCTAAGGAGGGGAGAGGCCGCGCTAACAAAGGTAAGCTGCGCTAATACCTAATGATCCGGGGTGCCGGGCTTACAGTGTGTCTGTCTGTGCCTGGACCAGGTGGCAGCAAACTGACCTCAGAAAGCCGTCAGGTAGCGTAGCGTCGCCTACCAAAACTCACCTGTACACTACCTAGGTGCTAGGTACAGGGCACTGCGAGGCTCCAGGTGCCCAAGTTGTTTTTAGCGGTTGAAACTGATAGGCCAGCCTCATTCAGCTAAGGTTTCCAAGCTCGTTGGTCTTTCGGCACCTTTGTTAGCTTGTTTAGGTACCTGAGAGCTGCAGCAGCAACATTTTTCGAGCTTTACACGGGCGCCAGCCAGAAAAGCGCGTCGACCTCTGACATCCACTGCTTTTGTCCCGCGCCAGCATCACCACCACATCACATCACACCTCACCTCACCTCACATCCCCTACCTCGCCGCACGCTGCGACAGCTCTTCCATTCCCTCCATGTTTGCAGCAGCTGCAGCAGCCTCCGTTGCTTGCTGAGCCCTACAGCAATGGCTTCGGCTTCCGATCGAGTCTATTTTCCCTCGCTGGGCGCATGCCTAAAGGGCGAGCATACATTGCTGTACGTATCTAGCCCCCAGTCGATTGCTATCTAGGACAGTTTGCTAATCTGAAGCGCAGGTCATGGAAATTGGTCGCATCAGCCCTTTCAGATGCCTCTTCCGACCGCTTGACCAGCGCCGAGCTCGTTCGTTTCCTCAGGGATCCCTATGTACAACAGTGCTTCTCAGACCCTGCCGCCGTTTTCGGCAAACCCGATGCCCAGACGAAGTCTGCCTTTGAGACGAAGACGGCCGCAATCAACGTCACGCCGACGGCGAATGAGAAGTACGATATCAAGGCTATCAAGGACGATGCGCAATGGCTGAGCAAAAATGCGAAGATCAGCGAGGTGGCCGCCTTGAGAATCGTCGCAATCGAGTTCCAGTCGAGAGCCCAGAGCCACCTCTGTGGCCCTTTGTCGACTCAAGATGTTGCCAACCTCAAGGACGCCGTTGGGGTGAACGGTGCTCAAGCAACAAACTTCCTGGCGTCCATCAACATGTCCAACACCATGGATGCGGAGGCTATCTGGGCCGCATTCGAGAAGGAGGAAGGCAGGCGGCAGCGTTTGCTAGCCACATACTTTTCCGAGCGGCGTTACTTCATGATGTCGGCTGAATACGCCTTTGCTTTCATGGTGAACGGATCCTCACTCCAGGCAAAGAGTCGGCCCGACAGTCGCGTTGCCGAGTCTCGCGAGTCCTTGAGCGAAGCCATTCTCGGTACGAAGGACAGTTCTGCTATCTCGAGCGAAAAACTCGAGAAAGTCATCTCTACGTATCTGGCTCAACTCCCTGGGTGCATCGACCTCTCAGAGGCAGGAATCCAGGCTGCTGTTGAAGACACACAGCTCGTGACAGACGATCTAGAACTCGACTGGCTGAGGACGACACTAACAGAAACAGTACACACGATGTCTCTCATTTTCCAACTTCTAGACACCTCAGAGCTGTTCGCATCAGCCGAGATTGTTTCTCAATGGTTCCGACTCATCGACAAGTATGGATTCATGGACCGTCTTCAATCTGTAAGTTTGGCAACACTATCGCGGTTATGCAGGCCAGCCTTACTGATTGCTTTCTAGCCTCATGAACGAATAGCAGAGCTCGTGCAGCCTATCAAGAGCTTGGTCTGCGTCATCTCGATGAAGTTGCTAAACCTCAACAGAGCCATCCCTTATCTCGACCGTGACATTGACCTTCTGGCAAAGGAGGATACCTACCTGGCCTCTGCAGATATTCTGAAGGAGATACACGACACCATAATGGGTGCCGCCAATCAGAATCTCATCACGGCTAGTCCTGTCATCTTTTCGTGGACATTGATCCTTCATCGCATGTATGTCTCCTACCAGGAACGAGCCGAGCGAAGGGATATCGCGCAAAATCGACAGGCCCAGGAAGGCTTTGAGCGAGAAATTCAGGGCCAATCCGGCCCCGTGGGTCGACGGCTTTCTGCGGGAAGCATAGTGTCGCTGGAGTCGCAATCTTACGACCTGTTTCTGACCGATTCATCTATGCAACAAGATGTGCAAGTCGTCGAGCAGCTTGCCATGGAAGTAACAGCAGGTGGCCGAGTATACGATATCATGGCAGATATGGCTCAGACATTGGGCCAGACACCAGACGCTTGCTTCCGCGCCAGCGTTGGATCCAGGATGCGTCTCGTCTTCCTTGAGCTTCTCAAGGCCAGCTATCCCATTGTCGGCTATTTACCTGAACCAGTTTCAACCCTCCTCCCAGTCTTATCAGGCGGTCAGCAGTATTGGGATATCACACATGATGGAACTGCGGACTCCAGTCAGGATATTATCACTCTCGCTTTGAGAGACGAGACATTCTTGGAATTTTATCTGCTTCAGGCATTGAACCGATACCCCTACGAATTCCTTCCCTTTATCAGCCTTTGCCGAATACTGTTGACTAGTCAGTCAACCAATGACGCTACCGAGGTGGTGCTGAGAGCACTACTCAAGACACCCACACTCACATTTGTCTTGCCCGACGGATTCCAGGGCTACGAGTTAGCCCAGGAAGAAGATAACTCAAATACTATCCGGATTGTTGAAGACATTCCACTCTTCAGATCTGCATCCTCATGGAAGAGGCGAATTACGGACGAGGAACAATTCTGCATTCCAGCTGGTACATTTGGCCGCTTTGTTACTGATAGCGGGCGTGTGATACTGATGGAGTATGAACATTCGACGTTATCTTTGCTGGGGAAACGCTTGGACGTGAACCTAAGCGCGGATTCCAATTTCGCTCAACTTGGCGTGCTACGAGCTGATGAGATAAGTGAAGGGATATCTCTTCTAGCTACGCTCATAACTACAGAGATGTTGAAGGTCCCTGATAGCAATGACGCCGCTGACTCAATTGAAGCCGGCCTCGTAGTGTTGAGAGAGGCTAGCCGAGCTCTTCCGCGAACAAAAGATATCGTCAGCGTAATCTGCGACACGCTTGACACTTACATCCAACGAGACGTATCCGGCTTCGAAGCATCGGAGATCGCGGTCCTGACAGCATGCATACAATTCTTACACACTGTTCTTCCCATCTCGCCAGGCAGGATATGGGCGTACATGGCCAGATCGGCTTTGCTGAATACAGATTCGCGTGCCGGCCGACTCTCTCGTATCACAGGAACTCTGGATCTCTTTGCAGAGCGATTTGATGTTTTAGCAGCATCCATCCGCTTTTTCTCTAGCCTCGTTGACAGTGCTATGAGCAGTGCCGTTCATCGCAAGGTCGGCGGCAAATTCGGTGTTCGGCAGAAAGGAGGCGAGAGCGTTTGGACAGGCACCTCCGACAAAGTCTTGACACAAGTCAGCTTGTCTATAGCCCAGACTGCTGTAGACGTGCTTGAGAACTCCTCGACATGGCGATTCTCATCGGAAGTCCAACGGAGTCGTTTAGTCCGTGATGTTGTGCCTATTCTCACCAAGCTCACAAGCTACACCTTCGGTGTAGACCAACCAGATGACGGCAATCTCCTGACTTCGTGTCTCCAGTCTGCTGCTAGCTACGTCATTGACAGCTTCCTATCTTCCTCGTCGGGAACACTGAGGTTTCAGCCCCTACTATCAACGTTACTCGTGGCATTTGATCTACCAGACTCGACTCTTTATTCAAGGCGGACTGAGATTATCTCTGCTCGTCTGGTAGGGGTTCTCGAGTTTGCAACATCGTTGATCAAGACGGCCAATTATCTTAATAAACCGTCTGCGACAATTGAATCGCAGTTTTTCAAGGGTGCTTCAGTTCTTGCTCGACTGTGCGCCGTGGACGACACTTATAAAAGCTCGGCATTCTCACTCTTGAGTGCCCTGGCCAGCAGCGTGGGCAGTGCAAATACTGATCCACCATCGCTGCTTGGACATCTAGGTCCTCAAATATCCAAATCCTTCCTTCAACTTCTTTCCAAACTGGACAAGCCCTTCGAAAGATCTGCTGAGGAGATAAAGACGTGGAAGTTCTTTTCCGTAATAATCCGAAACCGGCAACAATGGATGGCAAATTGTTTATTGACTGGCAAGACACCCCGTGAAGCCTTGAAGGAAGACAGCAAGCTGTCGAAATTATGCCCCGACTCTGTTTTGGCTACGGCATTGAATAAACTTCAGTCAATCAGTAGCATTCCAACGCCTGAGCTTCTCGCAATCTTGGACTTCCTCACCTCAGCACAGAACTATTGGCCATGGACAATATTTGCTATCCATCAGGACAAGGCCATGGACGAGCTTCGAGCATATGGTGGCGTATTGGAGCCTTCGTCAAAGACCTTGAGACACAACGCAGAGAAGGCTGCGAACGATGCTCGGGTTGCTGCGTATATCGCAGAAACCCTGGCCATGCAACTTTATCATCTTCGTCAGATGGGGCAAGAACACGAATTTGCCGAGAAAGTCGTTCGTGGACTTGACTATTTCCTCCGAGAGGGTGTGTTAATATCAGGCTACAACACTTCTTTGCACGTGAACTTTGCGAAGAATTTTGCAAGTCGGTATCCTGGCCTTTCACTGGGCAATTTCAAGCGATCATTGGTATCCCAACACGATCTAGGGAAACAATACTATTATGCCCTCGAACTCGCGGACGAGATGCTAAGACTTGACCCCGGCTGGATTGGCCCCCGAGAAAATGGCTTCAAGAACGAGATGGAGACGGCGAATCTCAACCTGTCTCTGGTTGATGCCCAAATCGTAAGTGTTGCAAACATTCCCCTCGGTGATGCTCTCAGTAAATTAACACATACAGGCCCTTTTCCATGCTTGGGAGTTCTTGTTGGTCGAGCTTAGCACGTGTCTCCTACCAAAGGGTCAGCTCATCACAAAACAAATGATGCAAGTCGCAGAACAGTGCCTGAGCGCAAATCAGGAGAGCCAAGGTCCCACGAGAATCTTTGAGAGGATCACGCAGTCTCGTGCAAATCTCGCCATGGTTCTTGTCCAACGCCTGACAGAGGTGTCATTAATGCCTAAGGACATTGTTCAGCTTCTCACGACACTCTGGACTACCATTAACGGCATCGAAAACCCGTTCGGCTCGGAGCAGCTCCAGTACTACCGGACACTCCTGAAAACACTCTTCATCGTCCTGAGAGGGTATAATGGATCTCAAGTGCCTGTTGGCAATGTCAAGGCGGCAAATGACTCAATCGTTGCTATTAACCAGGGTATCCTGAACATCCTCGATCGTGTTGTCGCACAAGGCTTCCGAACGCTGGTTACATTGATTCATGACCCCGAGGCCATGGTCTTCCCAGAAGACATTGCGCTTCTTACAGCTATCCTACAGGCTTGCTTGGCCATACCAGGCATGGACCAATGTCAGACTCAGATTCTTAACATCATGGTGACACACGACGTCCTCCATGTTGCGACATCGCTGTTCTCGTGGTCTGACAAATTGGCTGACAAGGGCGATCCTGTATATGGGGAGCTAAGCCTTCTATTTCTCCTTGAATTATCCACGCTGCCACTGCTCGCCGAGCAGTTGGCCTGCGATGGGCTTCTTGGACAGCTTACCTCAGCCAACATATCCACTCATATTCAGCGACCGAACGTGTCTCCATATACAGACAGCGTTGGCGCACAACGATGCTACGGCATCTGGGCAAAGGGGATACTCCCTCTGCTCCTCAATATATTGACGGTTCTCGGTGCAACCATTGCTCCTGAGGTTGCATTTGTTCTCAGTCGGTTCCCCAACCTCTTAAAGTCCAGCATAGAGCGCTTCGAGGCGCCAGGCCTTAGTCGAACGGTCTCTCGTGAAGCACCGCAGTACGTCAGCCTCATCACGGTCTCAGAGGTTCATTCCCTGGCCCTGATCACGCGCGTGCTGGCCATATTGAGAATGAACAACAACCGGGATATACCCGATGTCGCATGGGATGCGGCTACACTACTTGAGAATGTGGAGTTCTGGCTCTCTAGCCGCAAACTTCTCAGGGATAGGATCTTGCCACTCGGCAGCAGGGAGGCCGACTGGAGGAGCATGAAGACTGCCGCGGCAGGTGCCCCTGGAAAATCAGACAATAAATTAGAGGCGAAGGTGGTTGCGTTGCTCGAGGCTGTCAAAGAAATCTTGAGCGATTCGGATTGAAGATATATGACTTAGGATAAAAAATGCTTTGGGAAAGGCATGGAATGTATGAACGAAGCAAGTAACATCACACGTGCCCTGGGCAACCGTGAACAGGGGACACAGGGAACATGAAACCCGAGCCGAAGAGCTCAGCGGCGTGATCATAGGTAGAAATCGATATCACATTAGTGCAAACATAGGCCTTGTCCAACCATGCTCGCGGCCCAGTTACGACAGAGACCAAGTGTAAATGTGTGAAATCTTGGAGTTGAATTGATGCCGGCATAGCTTTTGCGTACTACGCCAAAACCGCAACGTCTTGCCCAACAGACTCATTGAGCGCCATCGGCTCCTAGGCAGGTAAAATGTACAACAGTATTACTACAAAACATCCCAGGCCCACCATAGGCCACGGGTCCAGATTTTCGCCTCTATAGATCCGAAACAGGTAGAGCAAGCCCCCCGATCCATGGGTCCTCGACCTTAACTTGTCAATATGATACAGCCTGCTTGGCCATTTGCCTTGATCGATTCCGAGATCTTTTTCATCTCTGGGATACGATGGGCCGGCCAAGCAGAGCGTCGTCGCCTAGCAACCTTCTCCGAGGCGCTTTACCTCTGCATCTTGGCGGTGATCTCGGCATTGTGCTCCTGGAAGCGCTCGCTCAGGCGCTGGGACATGGCCATGGACTTCTGGACGCAGCGGGTGACGCAGCCGGACTCGCGGGACGACAGCGACTTGGAGGTGAAGTCGTCGATGCAGGACATGAAGCAGTGGTCGACGAGGTTGCCGAACAGCTGTGGGACGGGAGGAAACGGTCAGTATGGGTGCGTGCTCAGGCGGGATAGCTGCGTGCGCGCGAGGGGCGAGTGCGAAACGTACGCTGACGAACTCCTTGACCTGGCGCTTCTGCATGCGCTGCTCGAGCTCCCGCTGCTCAGAGGCATTGAGTCCACCGAGGCTGCGTGTCCATTAGCTCCCGGTTTTCTTGTGATGGGTGGCATCAACTGTTAGAGTATAAAGGGGGTACTAACGCATCCATTATGTGAGAGAGTCTGTGTTGGAGGAGAGGGTATCGTGGAGGCGAAAATTCGATGAATAGATGGGCGTCGAGGGTATGGTGTACAAAAAGCTTAAGGTCGGGATGCTCGTTGTGAAAATTACGAGGACGCGACCCGGCAGGAGCTGTCCAGTGATGTCACAGGCCAATCAGAGCCAGTAGGCTCTCTTCGAGCTGTTAGAGACCAAGCACGTGACTGCAATTGGAGTTCAATATTCGGGTGTGCAACACAGGGATCAAAGAAACAGAAGACAATGAATCTTTTAGATGGATACACGACCTCTTCACTATTAGAACCTTGGCCAGCGGCCGCATACTGCCCAGGTTCAAAATTACCAGAATGTGGCTCTGCGAGAATGTAGAGCCTGAAAGTGTAATATCCCAGCTATAGCTTCATCTACATGCAGTCGACCAATTATCAAGACTTGTTGTTTTCGATAAGCATTCTTACCTTGCAAAGCCAGTTACATTTGCCTTTGCCACAGTCTACATCCTAGGGCGTGTAGAACCTTGAACGTGACCGTTGGCAGCAACTCATCACGGCGCAGATACGAAAGCATCTTGCATCGTATTGCAGGCTGCTGCATATCAATCATGTCGGACAATGAGGCTACGATAACGCAGTGACATCCCAGGTTCCCCGGGTCGCAAGCTTTGCTGTCTTGGTATGCTTTAATGGGATACCAGCGACGAATCACGACCTACGCCACACATGGAGCCGAAGAAAGCCGTTTAGCTTTTTGTTTGCGAAACAGTAGCCTACCGGTGACGTGAGCCAACTCTGTCGAAGGGAACACCCTGCAGATAGGTGCATTGAAAGGTGAAACACGAGCTGGAGGTTGTTGAATCATCACGCATGCACATGAGCTGAACTTGCTGAAGACCCGGCGGCGTCGGGCATTCTGTATGGAGCCATATGACGGCGATGTGCCATGGGCTCAGCCACAGGTCGACCGTTGAGGAGACGATGGGCTCCTGGAGGGTTGCGATCAGTGGCTCCAGCGAAATCCTCGGAAACCGGGATGCGACGATCGACCTTCCCTCTACCGGCATTCTCTCCCAGGCGATGGCCGACGGCATCGGCGGGTCAAGGCCGACGAGGCTGTGCCTGGAAAACTTGCTTCTGAAGTTGTTCGGGATGCGTACCCACTCGCTCACATACCCATTACGGCCCTGTGGCAGGAGATGGGCACACAGTGACACACACACACTCGCTCACGTCGCAGGCACATTTGGCATGCACCACCACATTATGGCACATGTCCTGAACCTGCAGTCTGCATGACTTCAGCAGCTAAAAAAAGAATCGGCGTTCCTCGGCGTGGGAAAAAAACGGCGGGAAATCTAAGGTCTCTTCCCCGGATTTTGTGCCCATCATCTTGAGGAATGTGATAACCTGTTGCTCAGCATCGGACTATGAGGATGATTCTCCAGAATAGCTGTCACCGCGTAGAATAGGTCCTACGTCATTGTGTATGCTTCTCTCCCGGTCACTCAGATTGACTTGCAGAGAGAGGCCAGGGCATACTGCAAGGATGCCGGCCGGAAAGCCCAGATAATGTTACGTGCATGCACCAGTATGTACACGCCCAGGTACAGCCCAGGCCAGGACAGTACAATACAATACAATACAATACAGCCAGTCATCCGACGCAGTTAAGATCGGCAAGACTGAGGGAAAACGGTCCTCAAGAGATTGGCTTCTATTGCTCTCTCAGCGCAACGGGCATGCCCGGACGCCAGCCAACCAAACATGGCGAAAGCAAAGAATCCCATCCTCTCGATGCGCTCCTCGCAGCCTTATCAGCGGTATTAAGAAGGCATATAGCAGAGAGATCGACGTGAAGCACGCACATCGACCAGCTCCGCTAGGTCTCCGCTAGGTGGTCGAGACTGAAAGAGATGATGATGCATGCGCGCTCAGACCGTGACCGCCCAGCATGGAAGGCCTCTCCCACCGCTGAGCCACACATTGAATGGTAGGACTGAATGGCGAGCCAGCCATGGGTGATCTTTTTGTCTTGACCTTCGGTCGCACCGATCGGCGACTACCTTCCCAGATCCATTTTAGCTGGGTGTAGACAGGCGCGGAGGACCTAGACGGCTCTAGAGCTCAACCGTGTCAACCCAGGCCCCTGCAGTGCCTCAACTGCAGCGCGGCACATTCTGTGTAGTACTCAAGCTCTCAAGGATGCTGTGGAAGCTTGGAGCAGGCCGTTGGAAAACTTGCCAGAGCCTGTTGTAATGCCAGCCTTCTGGTTTAGCAATGTAACCTGGGGAGCAGTTCTGGCCTTGCCTGGATTGCGTTGGGGACCTGAACAGTGGCCGAGGTATCCACAGCCTTCCAATAGTCTACAGCGTTCCTATTCAGGGACACAAAGTTCATGATCTTTGATGGGAGGACTGAATTGGACACTTTTTGAGATCCCTGAGATGTCCATGTGCTGAAGAGTATCAGGCCGTTTTGCAGAGCTTTCTACCAGGATCAGCTTGACTGTAGTAAGCGTTCCAAAGTTGGTCCCTTGAGTGAGCGAGCTTCCGAGCACAGGCCAGATTCCTGCCAACTGGAGCAGCAAATGGGGTATTACTCAAACAAGACTGGACACTACCTGACCTTGCCTTATTGAAGCCCCTGCCCAGGAACTGGCCAAGTGCGTGCTACCATGCAGTCAATATCAAATCGTATCGTAATTTGTACCTTGATTTTTCATAGAGAGCTCCCATCAGGCCCATTTCAGTGCCGTGTGTGAAAAATGGACTGCCCTGAAGAAGATTAGGCTGCTTTGAGAAGCATCCATGCCCCCAAATTAACCTACGAGTAGCCTAGATTTTCCCCCAAGCTGATCCCAGCTATATTCCCGCACCGGCTGACGCACCTACCACTGGCTACCAGACGCTAACCTTGCTAGCTAATTTTGATTAATTACCGGTACCCTTAGAACCGCCGCATCCCAACAAGCAGAGCAAAGCAACCAAGCAGAAGCTCCCCACACACGCGCGCTCGCGCATTCTACGGTGTAATTTCAATCATCATCACAAGCCCTCCTCATTCAGCTCAGAAGAAAGCAGAGAGGCTTACACTGCACGAGACTCCGATATTCCTCTCTGCTTCATTGGTTTTGCATGCATCACATTGTGTTACTTTGCTTTGCTCTGCTCTCCGCACTTCTCTGTGCCGCGCCTCTTCTGAGCTGTGGACGCGTCGTCACTCTTCAAGGCATCTTCAAGGCATCTTCACCCCGCTGTTCCACAAGTGTCTGCCAGCAGGCCTACCAAAACCAGGGTACCAGGTATACCTACCTATCAGGTAGGTACCTGTTCTCCAAGCCACAGAACAAAGCAACGACACCCCCGAGACAGGCTACCCAAATAAGCTTCAATGACCACAGGAGAGTCAGTCTCCCTGTGCCTGTAACAAGCTGCAGCCTGCCGCGTGGGTGGATGGATAGATGGATGATTGAATGCATCAACGAGCGAATACGCAGTAAACAGATCTGAAGGATTGCAGCAGAATTGTCCAGGGCATCCTCTTCCGATTTGAACAAGACAGCAGCCTAGATACCCAAAGCTGTCACCCTCTCAGTCCCGTCTCCGTCTCTTGAAGAAGCACAGCATTGGTATTCAGGTACGTCGTCCAGGTCTTCATACCGACCTAGGTAGTCCCTCCTCCCCAAAGTACCCAAAGTACCTAGGTACCTTAGGTACATTACCAGCCCACACACCCAGCACAACCAACCCACACTGGCCTGGGGGGGAAGGGGGGAAAGTCTGCACGATGTTGCAGGGCATAGCGTCACGGTCCACTTCAAGGTTCCCTACCAAACGCTGCTTCGCCTAGCCTAGCCTACCAATCTCCTACCTCCTACCTTGCCTTAACTAACTCTATTACTGCCTGCCCTACCATACCTTACCTACCTTACCTACCTACCTGCCTTTACCTTACATTACCTGGGGGACTCGTCCAACTTCCACTCACTCATTCAATTGCGCGCATCGCCGTCCGCTCACCTCCACGACCACATCCGCCACCACCATCACAGCCACCAAAGGACAGCACCCAACGCACCGCCAACATCCTCGATCAACCGATCACAAGCGATCTCTTTCATCCCCCATTTAGGGTTGACATTTTTAATTACTAGCAGAGATCAGACCAAAACCACCACGAAATAGCTGTCGCGAAGAAGCGCCGCCCCAAACATTCGCTCTGGCAGCAGCTGCCCGCACCTCCTTTGCGCCGTCACCACGATGACGTCCGCAGTCCCGCCTCCAAATCCAAACGCTCCTCCTCCCGCGACCGTCTCCAACCCACAGCCCATCGCTTCTCATCATCAGTATAACAATCAGACACAACCTCCTGCCCATATAGCTGCTTCCCAAGCTGCCTCCCCGCCGAGCAAGCGAGACCTCAAATCGTGGTGGAAGGGATTCAAGTTGCCGTCCAAGCATCAAGAGACACATGGTGAAGCCCCCTCCATCTTCTTTCCTACCTCCTATCCCCCTCCTCCCCGTTTACATCGTCGCCCCGTCTTTTTCAGGCGAAGCTCCCTCTTCCGCGAGGATGTCGATGGCGGTTTCAACAACGCCTCCGGCAAGGCTGTCCTCCAGGCCATCCTCCAGCACGAGGAAACCCATGCCTCGCTCCGGGCAGCCGCCAAATCAAGCGACGGCGTGCTGTGCAGAGCCTGGCGTCGGTCCAAGAGGCTCTTCAACCGCCTGGCTTCGCCGTTTCTGAGAAGGACCTCACATGACCGCTTCATGAATCAGTACAAGAGGCGAACGAGACGACAGAATAAGAAGACTAAACGTCGCCCTGCAGAGACCAAACCCCCCGGCATCTTTGGCGTGCCCCTGCGCCAGAGTATAACATATGCCAACGTCGCCATTTCCCTAGTCGACGACAACGGCAAGTCCTACATCTACGGCTACGTTCCGATTGTGGTAGCTAAGTGCGGCGTATTCCTCAAGGAGAAGGGTGGGTTGCATAATCCTACAGGTTTCCCCGCCGGGTATTGCTGACATTCATGTGCAGCTACTGGTGTTGAGGGAATTTTCCGACTGAGCGGATCGGAGAAGCGCATCAAAGAACTCAAGCAGATATTCGACTCTCCGGACCGGTATGGAAAGGGCTTGAGCTGGGAAGGATACACAGTCCACGATGCCGCCAATGTCCTACGGCGGTATCTGAACGATCTGCCCGAGCCGGTCGTGCCCTTGGACCTCTATGAGAAGTTCCGCGATCCTTTGAGAGGTGCGACCAAGCAAGGAGCTGCCGATGCCGAGGGGCCGCAGTTCATAGACAACTTTGACCTGGACGGTGCCATTGCTAGGTACCAGCAACTAATCACGGAGCTGCCGCCATTAAACCGGCAGCTGCTGCTCTACATTCTAGACTTGCTCGCGGTATTTGCTGCCAAGGCGGATGAGAATCGCATGAACTCGCAGAATCTGGCAGCCATCTTCCAGCCCGGTATGCTGTCTCACCCAGCGCACGCTATGGCCCCAGAGGAGTACAGGCTCAACCAATGCGTCATCATTTTCTTGATCGAGAATCAAGATCATTTCCTGATTGGAATGCAGGGCACCGCCGCGGATGAGAAGACGGTACAGGAAGTTCAACAAGGTTCCGCGCAAACTAATGCACCAGCTACTCCCATTCCCATCCGGAAATCGGGAGTGCATCGGTCATCTTCCAATGCCAGTGCGGGAGCTGAGAGCGTGGCAAGGGATGGCAAGATTCGACGTAACCGGTCAACGTCTTCCAGACACTCACGACACTCGAACGGAGCACCCAGCCCTGCCAGCCCTGCTTTGGCAACCACGCCGACTGGAGGTCTCGGTCGTAGTAACACCGTGCCGTCCAAGAAGTCACCTGCTCTACAGTCTGGTAGATTTCAGCGAAACCGAAATGACCACTCTCCAGGACCTGTCACTCCTTTGACACCTGTCAACCCCAATGCCCAGATTCCAGCCCCTCCAACTGTGGAGGAGGTAGCAACGCCAGAGTCAGGCAATGATCCGCTCGCATCGAGCACAGGAGGGTTGCCCCCAGCAGCATCTACTACGGGAGGTCGGAGTCAAGAAAGGCTTCTCGAGCCTCAGCTTGAAGTTGTTACGCCCTCTCGCGAGAGGACTCTTCAAAGCTTATTTCAGAGGTCACCAACTGATAACTCAGACAAAAAGACACCCAACAAGCTTCGAAAGCGGCGCTTGCCAGGAAGCTCTAACCCTAGCGCACAAAGCTCAACCGCGTCTCTCACACACTCGGCTGCAGCATCACCTGCTGTGGAATCTGCGAATCCCATGGAGCAAATCGGAGAGGTAACAAGTGGTGAGCTCGGCGTGCCAACACCAGAGCAGAAATCTGCAGCCGAAACTCCATCCGAACCTACCCCTCGGGCGTCCCAGATTCCCTCGGCCGGCAGCTTGCACCCGGTCAGCGCAGAGCACACTCTCAAGCCCAAGAACTCACCTCCTACATCTCTGCATAGCTCTTTCAACGAGGGATCTGATCTCGACCAAGTCGAGGAGCCACCAACATCGGCAGACGCAGCTGATCAACCCGACAAGGAGAAGAGACGTCGTTGGCGGTTGTCTCGGAGGAAGGAGGACCTGGGCTCTACCCCTCAGCCTGGTGTGACGTCGCCCCGGAAAATCATCACGACACACGCGGAGGCAAGCACCAGCTCTGTGGGGACTGGGTCCAATATGGCGCGGCGGAGCTTCACGGGCGAGTCTTCAGACCCGACCCTTATCAGCGCCGAAGCCCTGTCCAGTCAGGACTCTGGCAGTAGGGAGGTGAAGGACGACTCGAAGGGCCTGACCGGCTGGATCAAAAACAAGTATCGGGAAGCTAAGGAGAATCGTGAAGAGCGGCGCAACAAGTCACCACCGGCCGACCGATCTCTTAATCCGCCTCTGCTTCCCGTGAGAGGCAAGAGCTTGGACATCAAGCGCCCGATAGAGGAGGAGAAGGAACCAGCGCCGTCCGAGCCACAGCAGCCACTAGAACCGAAGCCGCCTCAGCCTCAGTCCCAGCCTCAGCCTTAATTTTGTCTTTATTTCATCGTTCCACGGGTCCCATCTGCATGGGAGTTTATGATTGTCTGGTTACTGTATGAAATTGACGGGGCGCCCTACACTTATGATTTTTAATGTCTACTCTCCTTCTCACGGATGGTTCACTTCCCTTGGTGAGGAGCCAATTTTGAACATGCGGCGTCGATAGACGATGACGGGACTTCTTTGGAGCTCGAAGGCAGATTGTTCTTGTTTCTTCCCCCCATTATACTTCAGATATTCTGATGCCGCGAATGACAGGCGGCAGGCAGGAGTGAGTGGTCGTGATTGAGGATACCCTGGTTGGCACAGGCGGACGCCGAGAATTGATTTGATTGTTTTGGTTCTTCCTTGTTTCACTACAATTTTGGTCGTAGCATCACCAGCCACGATATGTCGGGAATGGATTTTTGACAAAAAAGATTCTGTAAAACGGGCCGAGGCCCGAGGCGTGGACATGAGAGGAGTGTCCCTGCAGGTGTAGTGATATGATCACCGCTGCCTCGACATGGAAACCCTTTTTTCCCCTTCTTCAAAGGACGGCAAGGAAGGGAGAAAAGAGGGAAAGAGATCGAATGAACGGACGGCCGAACGAATCGAACTGTCCTGGGTCTCTCGGAGGAGTAGGAAAATGTCTTAATTGGAAGAAAGTTCTGTAGAATACCTAACGGGATATTTGCTCTCTGTCTTCGGAATAATGGAAAAATAAGAACCAAGGAAAACCACCCCGACCTTTTTTTTTCCCTCTCTCGATGTATATGCGCACAGAAACGTGTAGAAAGAAGGCCAAGATCATGTCATAACATGTCATATCATATGCAGCAAGCCGTTGATCATCAGAGTTTTTGCATGTGCTTGCTCACTCTTCTCCTCTGAAGCTCCTTCCCCCTCGAGCGCCTCTGGTCTTGGCCGGCGCGTGTGGGGGTTTGGTTAGGGGGCTTTCCCCGCATCGAGGCACTCCGATGGCCGAGCTGAAGACGGGAGGCATGATGGACAGACTAATGAGTTAGGTAAGGCCAAGCTTGCAAGTTCCCGGGGACCTGAAGCTTCGCGCGGTGAGGCTCCGGAGGGCGCTGATCGGGGACGGTGGGGAGACTGCCTCTTCTGGCAGGCTGTTGCGTCTTCATCGCGGCTTGTCAGAACGGGTCTGGCGTCACTTATCCTAGTTAAGGCGGGCTTGGGCTGGGCATTTGTCGAAGGACATAGGTTAGGTTAGGTTAGGCTCATCTGTGGCTCTTAGTAAGACCAGTTGTGTAATTGCAACAATGACCGGTAGTTCTTCGAACGGGTGTAAGAGTAGGTACTTGCCGCTCGAGATTACTATACTGGTACGAGATGATATCACCCTCTGATAATGCAGGCCAGGTCTGTTGATAGTGAATGAGAGTGGACAGACAAGGGTGATTGATAGAGGACTTTTGCATGTCCATCGTGAATATCTGATTAGTCTCTCCCGCTCTTCCGCAACGCATACTACAATCATTACCTACGTAGGCTTGCCATGTCAACCAATTTTCTCAGGCTCTACGATTGGCCCGGGTATAATATCACAGACATCTTGACAAGAGTCTTGGGCGACGGGACTGGACGGACGACACCTCAGTCTAGAGGTCTAGAGGGAGAGCTAGCAATGCTGTCGTGGGTTGGCCGCCTTGTGCTACCGGGCCTGGTGTTCGAGAAGCCCTGGAAGGGTGGGGTGGGACGTTCAAGTTGGGTCTCCGACAGCGGCGGCTACCCGGACCACCTTTGACTCTAGAGCGAGCTCCTCGTCGTCGGCCAGAAAGTGGAAACGGGAGGCGCATACCATGCTGCACAATGGCCCTGCCTGACTTGAGTCACTCGAGTATCATCTATCTGAAAACTCGGCAGCAATTTGCGCGTGTGCATGCGTGCGTGTATGTATGCGTACGTAGCTAGTACCGGTAGATCGATCAGTTCATCTGTTTGTCAACACGCATGTTTAAATCTAGCAGGTGATATCCTCTAGGGGGCGGCGTCTCTTGCCGCCCAAGCCAAGGCCGCCAATGATGTCCCTGCCCGCAGCCAGCCACCGATGTCAAGCCTGAGCTACAGGCGGTCACGATGCTTACCATTTGCCTGCGCTGGTGAGAGTTGTCCCTCGGCTCCGACTGCGACTGCCCACTGCTACATAGTACGGCGCAGTATGGCGCTGAGGGAAAAGGCTTCGCTAGCGCCCAGTACCCCACAATCCTCCCTCGCCCCGTCGGGCGGTGGGTGGTGTGGAGTTTTCTTTCCCTTGGCTGGCTTGCAGCTGGGCGCTAGTAGTGCCGTTCTTAACTATTTTTTTGATGTTTTTTTTTCGCTGCTCCTGTGCAGGTGCCCGATATCACGCCGAGGTCCCGATACTAGAAGCCAGTGAGTCAATGGCACTCCCTCTGCCCCTAGCAAAGAGTGATGCGTTTTGGGAAAGAGGAGGAAGACAGGTGACGAAGGAAAAATGGAGTCCCCAAAGCGCGCCAGAGACACGATGCCCCGTAGCAGCAGCACACTTGATATCGTGGCCTGTGCCTCGCGTCGTATAGACGGGCCAGTTGAGTCATTCTAGTACCTAAGGTAGGTATCCAGGGCCATGGAATCAAGCAAAAGCAGATACTTGCTCTTGCAGTGGTGATCTTCATCTGCCAGATGCGTCTTACATCAGCTCTGTCGAAGGCGAAGCGCCATCACTCACTCAGCCGCGCGCGCACTAGAAGTAGGGACGAGGCAGAGGACTCGATTGGGCTGTCTGAACGACACTCTCGACTCTCGATTTACAAATCATCGCTCAATCTATCTCTCCCCTGGTGGAGGACCCTCGCAGGGCCCATCTCCGCTCCCAGTGCTGGCACCAGAGATCTGCTCAGGCCCTCGTAGATAGAATGGTAAGCAGTTCTTTGTGAGTCGAAGTCCGCTTCTTGCAGCCATTCACAGCTGTCAAAAAGGAGCTGCTTCTGTGCGGCTGAGGATTCTTACATAGACTCGCATGCCCGCCCCAGCTGCTGTTTTCGCTGGACACGCTGGTAACGCGTGTAGATCCTTTCCGCCTGCTGGCTGCTTGCTTGCTTAGACTCCTTTATACAGGTCGTACTCGCACAGCTTCTTGACTTGCAGGCTGCACGTCTCCCCCAAATCCTACCTGCCCGCCCTACCTCGGTTTCCAATTCGTGACTCGGGGTGGAGGAACGAGCTAAAGTCCGCGATTGTGTGTGGCATGTCGGCAACATGCCTCCCTACCTACACAATTTAGTCCCCCGTAGGAGGTAGCTTTTCTGGATTGCCACGTTCCTGTGCCACCTGCACCCTGGGCTGGGGACAATGGATCAATGGATCAATGTCTCTCTCCCCAGCGGCGGGAGGAGCAAGAGGGAGGACCACCACCACGCCCGGGCTAGGTTAGTCGTACCCGTAACTTAGAGTAGTATAGAGCCGCTACCTGATCGTGGTTGGCTTTGGCTTTGGCTTTGCTCCGGCGGTCCACCGCAGATTTTGTTCTGCAAGACCAGACCCCAAAGAGGGTTCGCACCAGTGGGAATGAATTGGGGGTTCGGGATTAAAAAAAGGTATAAGTGATCGGCACCTCCACGCGCTGCTCGCTGCGGGTGCTACGGTACCACCCTACCGACAAGGCCAGTTCACTTCACTTCAGGTCTCATTTAAATTCCTGGGGTTTGCCTTCTCCAAACCTTGGGAACTCTATCTGCTGCTACTGCACCTTGGGACTCATTGTTGCTTGACTGACGAACCTCTCGTTGAGTCTGGCAAGACAGTAAGCCCAGCATGTTTGGCAAGACATCTGGTGAGTAATTCCGTCACTCCGGCCTCACGCCTCACTTACACCAGCCGACCACACAATGGAGCGCTCATCACCTCCGCTCTTCCCCGCAGAAAGGAAACCCGTTGAGTCGGGAGCCTCGGTGCTTGGTTCTCCTGCAATGCCATTGCCCTCAGTAGTCTGTTTTTCTGTGACTTTAATAACATAGATCTCAGTGAAAGCCCCCGAGGGCAAGTCCGAGGCTCATGAGTCAACTGGCAATGGCCTCTCCGGCAACACCTATGACCCAAACCCGGAGGTCGGCTCGCCAGCCGAGTTCGACGAGCTGCATGTGCGCTGCCCGCCGCACACAACCGAGAAGAAGATGATGGCCCGCATCGATCTTCATCTGCTGCCCTTCATTGTAGTTCTGTACCTGCTGGCCTTCCTGGACCGAGTCAATGTCGCCAACGCTCGCTCGTTCAAGCTCATCGACGACCTGAGCCTGAACGGTGCTAAGTACAATACCATTCTGACCATCTTCTTCGTCCCCTACGTCTTCTTCGAGATCCCCTCGAACATGCTGCTGAAGCGCCTGTCCCCGCGTGTCTGGCTGCCCTTCTGTGGGCTCGGCTTTGGCATGGTCACCGTCTTCCAGGGCCTCACCCAAAACTACTCCGGCATCCTGGCGACGCGCTTCTTCTTGGGCTTGTTCGAGTGCGGCATGTTCCCCGGCTGCTTCTATCTGCTCGGTAGGTGATTGTGTGAAGCTACGGCGGCAGTGCTCCCGAGAAAGCGTTTCTGACATTCTGAGTAGGAATGTGGTATAAACGCTCTGAAGCCCAGCGTCGCTTCACGCTCTTCTTCTCATCGACGTCTCTAGCTGGCGCTTTTGGCGGTCTTCTGGCATCCGCTATTGGCAAGAGTAAGGCAGCGCTTACCCCCCTGAGGCCCTGGCTCGGCATTGCGTGGTATAGCTAACACGATGCACAGTGCAGGGAATGCGAGGATACAACGGCTGGCGCTGGATCTTCATCCTCGAGGGCACATTGACCTGTGTCATCTGCATCATCTTCTTCTTCGTCTTTCCCTCTTTGTAAGTTGCGACTTCGCAGGGTCAAGGGCGAAGAATCAGCTGGCTAACGAGTGTGTCCAGCCCCGAGCAGGCCAAATGGCTCACCGAGGAGGAGCGTACTTATATCAAGGCTCGTCTGCAGGCCGACCAGGGCCACAATGCCGCTGAGCGCAAGATCACCTTCCATGATGTCAAGACTGTCATGAGTGACTACAAGATCTGGCTGGGAGGCTTCATGTATCTCGGTTTGATCGTGCCTGCGTATAGCTACGCCTTCTGTAAGTCGTTTTACACCAGTTTTCCCGTTTCATGTGATCAAGTGGGAGGTTCTTGAACTGTAGCGATTGCCAAGAAGCCCGTTCAGGGGGGCCGAGCACTCCATATATGGGCTCAGATGGCTACACGCGCAACTGCGCATGATCTTCGAACGCCGATACTAACCTCTGCAAACAGTCAGCCCCGCTATTATCCAGTCGTATCACTACGGCGCGATCCAGACGCAGCTTCACAGCGTGCCGCCGTGGGCGGTCTCGTTCGGCTTCAGCATGCTGGTCGCAGTGCTCAGCGACTGGGCCAAGCACCGCTTCCTGTTCACGATCCTGCCCATCTGCATCGCCATCGCCGGGTTCGGCGTCCTGCTCAACGTGCACGACAACACGGACGTCGAGTACGCGGCGCTGTTCCTCGTGTGCATGGGCACCTACTCGGCCATGCCGGTCATCGTGTGCTGGTTCAACATGAACCTGGGCGGCCACCACCGGCGCGCCATCGGCGTCGCCTGGCAGATCGGCTTCGGCAACATCGGCGGCATCATCGCCACGTACAGCTTCCTGAGCACCGACGCGCCCTTCTACCACAAGGGCTACAGCATCTGCGTCTCGTTCATCTGCCTCAGCGCCGTCAGCTGCTGCCTGTACGCCGCCGCCGTCGTGTACGAGAACCGCAAGCGCGACCGCGCCGTGCGCGACGTGGGCCTGACGGACTACGAGAAGTCCGAGCTGGGTGTAAGTGTGACGTGGAAAATAAGAGCCTGAGAAAGCGACTATTTGGGCAAAGTGCTGACTTGATTGTTCTAGGACCTTAACCCCGAGTTCAGATACATGCTGTAAGCATGTTTACGAGCTCCGATGTTGATGAGTTGGATGCTGTTTACCATGTGAGATGAGAAAATGGGGTTGTTTCACGAAATCGTGAATTGCATAGTAGAAAAGGGGCTACGGCGTAGCTCAGGTAGATTTTGACACGTCCGGTAGATACCACATAAGGGGGCAATGTCCCCCCAAACGTTCAGATACTCGCAATATAAAAGATTGCATGCAAACAAAAGCTTTTGTCGCTCTATTTTCCTGTCTACCTAATGTTTGAACCCTCCTGACATGTACAGTATTCCTACAGTGCCGAGTCTCATGGCTTACACCTCAGTTCCCTTCCTTTCTAGCGGGATAAACACCCGTATCCCACACAACCAACCGCCCCTGACGAGTCGCCTCCTCGTTGAACAAGCCATTGAACCCGTCCCACACCCTCGTCAGCGTCACGCCCATCTCGGCGCCGCCGCCTCCCTTCTCGACGTCGAAATACTCACGCAGCATCTCCTCGACGCCCTCGAACCCCACGATGAACCGCGGGATCTCCCCTCCTCTCCGGTGCGCGTCGTCGCTGTCCCCGCTCGTCAGCAGCGGCCAGACCTCGCGGTCTAGAAATGCGTGGCCCCAGCGCCCGTCCTGCCCGTCCTCGCGCGCGTAGAACCGGTCCGTCTCGTCACGGTAGTTCCGCCGCTCGGCGCTGCGTGGCGGCGTGCCGAGCGGCGGCTCGCAGGTCAGGGCGCGCGCGCGCAGCGAGGGGTAGACGAGGTGCGAGCGCCAGGGGGTCGAGTGGCACGGCGTGAGGAACAGGACGAAGAGCTCGTCGCCTCCGCCGGCGGCGCTGACGATGGCCTCGGGGTCGGAGGCCGGAGAGGAGAGCGCGGAGGACGAGAGAGTGTGGTAGTGGCTGCTTGGGTGGGCGGGGTGCAAGTCGAGATGGTCTGGGTGCAGGCGCTCGTACTCGGTGCGGAGGAAGGTGAGGACGGAGATCGTTGCGCCTTGGTGGAACATGGAGAGGTAGACCCCGATAATGATGTTGGCGAGGATGAGGAACGCGAGTAGTGGGCCGCGCTTGAGACTTGTCGGCGACGCAGAGCTCGCCGGTTCAGCTATGAAGTAGTCGTTGATGTAGGGGGCGGCGAGGATGTGCAAGATCGGAAGAAGGGGGTAGATGAAGCGGACTTCCTTGTGGGCGATGACGGACAAAACCCCGATCATTGTCAGGACAGTGAATGAGAGCGTCTTGAGAATATTCGATTGAAGCACAGGTGTACTGGCCCGCGATGTTGACGACTTATAGAGACTCAACAGCGCAAATGGCAAGAAGGTAGTCGTTAAGAGAGGAATGCCCTGGCTCAAGTAATAATGCCAGTCCATGTGACCATAGAACACAGCAATGTCATGGGAGACGTTGAAGTAAAGCATTTGTAACGGCGGAAAGGTCCACGTGCCGAAGTAGAGGCGATCTGAGCAGGCAGATATCGCCAAGGCTAGTAAGCCGCATAGAACGCTTTCTCTCAAAAGGACCATCGCCGTACTAAAAGTAACTGCGCTCTTGCCATCGAGAGTCATCCGTGTCACAGTCAGCAGTGCAATTCCAGCCCAGATGAGGATATTGGTGGGTCTGAGGATCACGGCCATGGCAGCCAGAAAGAGAGAGATGCGGAGGCTTTGGGGAGATTAGTATTTAGAGGTAGGAGTAAACTTTCAGATGCAAACCCATACCTGTTGATACTTTTCCTGCTTTGGAGCGGTGCAGCTGCGGCGATATCACCAAGCAACTCCCACGGCCAATAATACAGAGCAATAATGGTTATAGTCGTCTCGAGTGAGTTTGAAAACGTTCTCGTCGAGCAGAACCATTGCCAGGGGTTGAGAATAGTCAACCATAGCTAAAAGAGGTCGTCAATACGCTTTATATTGGTATTGTGAAAGACCAAGACTCTTACTGTAGTCCAGGCCGCCCTGCTTCCCCTGCCGTAGATCCTTTCTGACAACTTCCAGGTGTAATAATCACCCAACCCAGCAAAAACCGACTGGACAGCCTTCGGCAGAAACACTAGCAGCAACGCTCTCAGGGGCGGAAAGCATTGAAACAAGGCCAGTATCTTGTCCGCAGCCATGTAAATGAACCCGAATATCACCGGGTGCATAGAAGCCCGGAGTTGATATTGCCACTCCTAAACATGAATCAGTCACATACTCGAGAGGCAGGTTATGGACAAGACTTACCCATGTCAGCCATGCTCCACTGTCCGGGCCAAATGCCAGATTCCAGGCCGGCTCGAGAGCCTGGAAATATTCATCTGGCTGGAAGAAGGTGCGCACGCAGAGGGCGTTGAAGAATCGAAAGGCAAGCAAGACGGCGAAGACGTCGCGGGTCTGGGCAGCTATGACATCCGGGTGAAGCAGCTCAGGGGCTCCACGGCGTGACACTGAGCCGGCGTTGGTCTTCGGCCCGGACTTTGGGGGCTTGGACGGAGTGCTCATCCCGTCAAAGGAGTGGAGACGCGGACGGACTTGCTCGGAGGTTTGCTTTGAGACAGGAGTGTTGTCAGCAAACTACTTTTCAATTCATCATCTAGCTGCACACGGATATGGAGTCCGTAGACCGTATTGAATGGGAGAGAATGCACAATGACAACCTGTCGTTGGTGTCTAGGCGACGGGCTACAGGGGGGCTACAGGGGCCCCTGTCGTGCTGGGCGGGACATGATTCGCGGGCGGTCGCCCCTACTGTGCCGAAGTAATCAGGCCAATCGTGATAGGCTTGTGATAGCATAAACCACCTGCATTGGGCGACCGCGGGGTTCTTGGCTTTGGGGACACAACCCCGCTATCGGACTCCCAACTGCGTCTCTCTCTCTTCAGCAGTGTTATTCTGGAGTGAAGATAGACGCAGAACGTCGTAGCAATTGCCGTTCATTGTGCGGTAATGGCTTCAACGTCTCCATGCCATGTGACTGGGAGGTTACGACATCATGTCAGATCTGATTAGCTGGTCAATTGATGCCATTGAGTAATGGCATCGGGCCCGGTTTCCTTCGGCACGTCACAGGTGGCCGGTCTACCAAGGTACCGCACAAGAGCCGCTTACACTTGCACTTAGGGGTCTAGTGTGGCGTTCTCTTGGGGAAAAGCTAGCTAAGTGTATCTGCATCCTCTCCTGTCCTGTTGCCGTGCTGTTCCTGCAAAGTGGAATGCAGGGAAGCATCCACTCCCAACTGTTTGCCGTTGGCTCTATTCCTTAATTACTTAAGGTCATAAGTAGGTGGCTCTTCCCGGCCGATCCCTCTCCAGATCGCCCCTCCTTGACTACTTACCTCACCGACTTCTGCGATCCTTTGTCCTGTTTTCGTCTTCCACTCTTCACTTATCTGAAGACGTTCCGTTAACCACTCACCACCAGACTATCCTTGCAAGCCTCCAACGCATTCCACGAAGGCAATCGAAGAGTCTTGCGTCATCTGCTGAGCCAATTGATCCATCACGAGCTTTGCTGTTGCTGTTCGACAAAGCATACCATTATGGCTCCCCACGCCGACGAGACCACCCGCTCCAATGGCAGCGACCCGGCGTCGTCGAGATACCACGCCTCGTCCACAAAGGGTGCCATTGCCGCCGAGAACGAGTACGCCGCACACAACTATCACCCAATCCCCGTCGTCTTCTCCCGCGCACAGGGCGTCAACGTCTGGGACCCCGAGGGCAAGCACTATATCGACTTCCTCTCTGCGTACAGCGCCGTCAATCAGGGCCACTGCCACCCCGAACTGATCAAGGCCCTCACCGAGCAGGCCGGCCGCCTGACCCTGAGCTCGCGCGCCTTCCATAACGATGTCTTCCCCGTCTGGGCCGAGAAGGTCCGCAAGACCTTCGGCTATGACATGGTTCTGCCCATGAACACCGGCGCGGAGGCTGTGGAGACGGCTATCAAGATCGCGAGGAAGTGGGCGTACAGGGTCAAGGGCGTCCCGCAAGGCAAGGCCCTTGTCTTTGCTGCAGAGGACAACTTCCACGGACGCACGGTAAGATATACATCCTCGGGGCTTGGGGCTCGTACTAACGCAGTAGTTTAGATGACCGCTATCTCGCTGTCGACCGATCCCGAATCTCGCGACAATTACGGCCCCTATGTGCCCAACATCAGCGCTTCTAACCCCTCGACTGGCAAACCGATCCGCTACAACAACATCGCCGATTTGGAGGAGGTTCTCGAGAAATACGGCAAGGAGACTGCCGCATTCATTGTTGAGCCCATCCAGGGTGAGGCAGGTGTGGTGGTGCCGGACGAGGACTACCTCCCCAAGGTGTCCGCCCTCTGCAAGAAGCACAATGTGCTGTTCATCTGCGACGAGATCCAGACCGGTATTGCTCGAACCGGCAAGATGCTCTGCCACCAGTGGGCCGGCATCAAGCCCGACATCGTGACGCTCGGCAAGGCCATCTCGGGCGGCCTGTACCCGGTGAGCTGCGCGCTGGCCGACAAGGAGATCATGATGGTCATTGAGCCGGGCACGCACGGATCCACCTACGGCGGCAACCCGCTTGGATGCGCCGTGTCTCTGCGCGCGCTGGAGCTTGTGGACGAGGAGGGCTTGATCGAGAGGGCAGAGCGCCTGGGCAACATCTTCCGCGAGGGCATTACGTCTTTCAACTCCCCGATCATCACCAAGGTCCGAGGCAAGGGCCTCTTGAACGCCGTTGTCATCGACGAGTCAGCCGCCGCAGGCAGAAGTGCTTGGGACCTGTGCCTCCTGCTCAAGGAAAAGGGCCTATTGGTAAGTTCAGGACGCTTTGCTCATGTCCATGTCTAGATCACCATCATCGCAGGAGACTAATGCAGAGAACAGGCCAAGCCGACCCACGGGAACATCATCCGATTCGCGCCGCCGCTGGTCATCACCGAGGAGGAGCTACGGAAGGCGCTCAGCATCATTGGAGAGGCGCTGAAGGAGCTGCCGACTGCGAACAAAGCGGAGGCACATTAGTGTGGGGTATTTATCAAAAGGGCGGACGGACGAGGTTGAAGGTTGATAACAACGGCTAATGTTGCAGGACGCTCACTCTCTAGTCCCCCTCTGCCTAGAGCCTAGGCATCTGGCAAGATGTGCTGGTTGCCTACCGGCCGGGTAGCACTATCGAAGATCGTGGAGTGAGGGTTAGAGAGAGCGCGCACACGAAGCCAATCAACCGGGTGGGGGCGAAAAGGCAGATGCACCGAAGCAAGCTTGGAAAGATTCGCTGCCGGCGGCACTCTGCCAGGGATGGAACATTATGGTCAACACTCGAGATCACAGGAGTGCACGGAAGCTGTTGGTTTCTGCATGGTTGGAAGAATCCTGCTGTGCTGGCTGGATGTACAGTACAGACGAGGCTTTCTATGTTGCTGCAAGCTACAAAGTGGAAGGCGTCTCAGGCATCATCGGTGGCCTGCTGTGCTACCTACCTACCATCAAGCAACTCGCCAGCAGCGTGTCTCTACTACCGAGGCAGACTTTTACTCCACGCCCCTTCTTCGATGTATCTCGAGAGCCTCTTTTTGGTTGTTGACTGGAGATATCCCACCAGATAGCGTATTGAATATGAAAAAGAATTACTAGCAAACCGACTCCAAGACACCTGCGCATCTACATCTGCATCGCTAACCGACAATTGGGGACTCGAGCGGCCGATTGGCACGACAAATCCAGACAGGCAGGCCAGGAAAGGTAGCGCTCTCTGCCAGGCCGGGCGTTGGAGGTTGCGTGCGTCCCTGCTGGCTTCGCTGGCGGCACGGTGCGGTGACGCGGTGATTCGTCGGTGGAAGGGGTCATACATGCCGCCTATGCACGTCGCTGCATGCAGCAGCAGCAGCAGCAGCAGCTTCAAGCAGCGGAGGCAAAGTTTAGTTGGCAGCAGTCATCGGCCGGGGGGAGGGAGGCTCCAGGCCAGCGAGCGAACTCCATGGGCGGTCAGACGGGGCCGTATAAAATGAAAATAAAATACAAATATGCAGAGGAGGCAATGCAATGCAAAGCAGGCTGGGTTGTGCTTGGAGCGTGGTGATGTGTCAAGACATAGAGCGGTACACGTGAGCCTGCCTGCTTGCACCCGTCCTCCACCGTGGGCAGCACCAGCGGGGGTGCTTGTGCTCCTCGCTGCCCCATTGCTCAATTGGAGATGGGGACACGCTGGACGGGGGACAGGCAGTGGCACAGATCGTTGTGTGTGTGTGTGTGTGTGTGTGTGTGTGTGTGTGTGAGGGTGTGAGGCCCTTTACTGTACTGTATCCGTACCTACCTGGAGGGTGTGTTGCCTGTCTTGTATGTGTCCGGGCGAATGAGGTGCGGCTGGTTGCAGGCTCGAGAGACGATAAATAGATGCGAGACCCCATATTCTCCAGACTCGTTCCCCTTTGGGCTGTCCGCAGAGACAGTGTGGGTGAGATGGAGGGTTGCTCAACTTCTGTGATCTCACCCATGGTTTTCTCAGCTTGAGTGGAATAGAGATTGACTTGGACAGGATGATAGGTGTGGCCATGGATAATATGGCATAGTCCGCGGGCAGAGTAGAGCAGAGGAGAAGAGAGCCAAACCACGGTAAGACACCGGCCGGGGCCATTGACGTTGGCGGCGGCTTGCTCAAACCGTGACCGACAATGCAGAGCCCATAATTGAGACATGCATCAGGGGGGCCGGCCCCATTGTGTGTCGTCGTGGACCAGAGACAAACCACCTGTCTCTGGTCCGCGGGCCAATGAGGGAGATGAGCCGTATGAGAGGCTATCGGAGTGGTCATGTGCGCGTCTTCGATCAGTGGAGTGGACATTGACCGCGAGACAGGCCTCATTGGAGGGAGAGAGTGCAAACAAGACAGGAAGAGCCGAGAGGGCATGCGATACGCTGGCGCTTGGAGCAAGGGCGGACTCTACAATTGCGACTGTAGCCAGATTAGCTGTCGGTCACTGACCGCTTGACGCACATGCGCAGGCGACAGGTATTGTCATCGGCATCACATTCTGCTCGTTCATTCTGCGCAGATCTTGCAGAAGAAAAGAAGTCCGTTGCACCAGCAATGGACGATACTTAGATAGGACGGCTTTGTCGTTGTTGCTTATCGGTGATGGGCGGTCTAATTGGGCAGGTATCTGGAAAGGGCAGATGGGACCCGACAGCCTCACTTCAGAGTTGTTCACTATTCATCTTACCGGTGCTCAAATTACATCCGAAATGCCAAAGCGGTAGCGAGAGCACTTCCGCGGGCTCTACTTGAATTTACACAAGGGTGGAATTTCCCTCGAGATCTTGTTATCCGAATATCGAACAGACATTTTGGCGCAACGGCAAGCCCGCACATCAGCTGGATGCCGATCTGGAAGAGGCCGCTGGATCTGATGCAAGTTGCTTGGTGGCCGGATTGAGTCTCTGTGGTCAGCACTAGAGGTAGTAGAGTAGACTGATACCGCATGTTACCGTGAGCGGATGGCGACTGGGAGCCTCTCTTCCCCCCAGGCACTGCAGGCAGGACAAGACACAGGGACAGACTGACTGACATCCAGTCGAGTCCCGTCGCCTGGCTGGTGTCATGGATGACCCCAGTGTGAGACTCTGACAGCAGCAGCCTGCCGAGAAGCCTCATCTGAGCCCCCCCTTCTTATCAGCCTGTCTGGTCAGGCACACGGGAAAGCCGCGAATAACTGAGCGAGTGGCCTACCCTCCCTTAGGCAGCCCAGAACTTAAGAGCTTGTGGCATTTGGCGGTACCTGTACCTGACTGACCTGGACAGCTCTTGATGGCATTGAAGTGTCATTTTGTTCCTGTTGATGGCGATATCAAGCTTTTGGCGTGACGACTGTGGATTGAACAGGCAATTGGGGTGGGTCGCCCTCAATTAACCCTCCTGCCCCAACAGGGGCACAGGGGGAGATGGAGCGGCTCCGGCTGCTGGCAGTCGATCCTGTTGGCCGCTCGCTAACGTGAAGGGTATGGAGCGTATGGAGCGAATGGGGCTCGAGCTGTCGTCAAGGGTCCAAGGTTCGAGCAAACCCCGGGTGGCAGCGAGGAACGTTATCCGTAGTGTATAACTAAAAGTAAGGCAAAGTAGCAAAGAAGCAGAGTAGGTAGGCATTGATGGGTACCGGTAAAAACTACCTTAGTTAGGTAGGTTAACCAGGAGGAACCGGAATGGATGACAAGATTCTCTCTTGCACGATTGGAAACGAGAATGTCGAGATAGCTTAGCTCATCGGAGGGAAGCTTAGCTAAGGGGGCTGTATGACTCTATCTATCCCTACTCGTAAGTGGTGGTGGTGGTGGGTGGTGGGTGCAGGGAGGAGCAGCAAATACGACATAATCATCAGGAGGTGACTTGTGTATTATGTATGTATGTCAATGAATCGCCATCCGGCTTCTTCCCAACACTTCCCATTCCATCCCATCCCATCCCAACCTACAGAAGATCTGTGCCGAGTCTTTGCCCCTTACCCGCTAACGTTATCTATCTCCTACCGGTACTCTCATGATGTGAATGACCGGTAGACACCGGAGCTGGTTCGGACATGCTTAGGAAGCTGGCCAAAACGGTGGATTGTGCCATGACTCCAAGGTGCATCATCCCAGCATCCCCTGGCTGCCCTGCCCTGCCCTCCATCACAGGTACTACACGTACAGTTCGAGTAGGTAGGTAATGCTCCTCCATGTTATCAGGGTGCCAACAAGACTGGCGCTAGACTAGAGCAGCAGCAGAATACCTGGAGCAAGCTGGAGGCAGGCAGGCAGTTCCAAGGCTGCCCAGGTGGATATCTACATTGGTAACTACCTAGCGATAAGATAGGGAGATAATGTACCGGTAGACCTGATAGACAGTTACCTATGTGGGAGACGGTGCAAGACGAGACGACGTAGGGAGGCGTGCTGATGTGCAAGGTGGGTGCAGCAGGCGCAGGTGCAGGTGCAGGTTGCAGGGTGCTTACAGTGGGTGGGCTTGCCGGGCTTGTCGCTTGTCAAGGGCCTCAAGAGTCAAGACTGGGAAGACGTGACGGCCCTGGCAAGTACCCGCGATGTACCTCTTAGCGCCCGCCCGCCTGCTGCTCTGCCCTGCTGGACCTGCATAGCTACTTGCCAGCAACGAGGGAGCGTGCTGGCGTGCTGGCGCACTGGCGTGCTAGGCCCGAAGCGTATGGGACGCCATTGTCACGAGCCCAGACTTGAAGTGACCACTCTGATCATGACTGACTGACTGTACCGTATTGTATGTAGTAGGTATACCTATGGATATGGGGGTGTGACTCTGCCTCCCCATCGAGACAGTCCTAAACTGGGTATACCGTAGTTACCGCCGCCGCATGTTATTGCTTGCTTCGGCTTCTCACCCACTCGCTTCGCTCACTTCACTCACTCCCATCATCCCCATCCGCCCTTCTGCTGTCGTCGTCGTCGTCGTCGACGTCGTTGTTGCTGCAACCGACCTACCGACCTGCTACGGTGCTGCTGTTGGCTGCTCTCCATTTCCCACCCTTTCCCAGATCTCCAGCACCTCTATCTCTCTATCTCTCTATCCGACTTCCTTGCCTCTCTACCTACATACCTACCTTAGGTACCTTGCCTATCTACCTCTGGTCTCTTGACTCTTCGTTTCATTCCCATCTGTTCACCACCCCGTTTTGCCTCTACCGAGCTTCACAACACACTCTTCACCTTCTCCGCCAGCCAGGATAGACCAGGAGCCTTCACGCCGCAGATCGACGCATTCATTTGACGTTCGGTTGGGTGACGACGGTAAGTACGTACTGACCTGCTGCTTTCAAGGTAGCTGCTCTCTCTGCACCTACGCTCGGCGCCTGCGCAGCACTGCACTGCTCTGCACTGCACAGCGCAACGCTATCTACCTATCTTATCCTTCCCACAGCTCAACCCAACCTTACCCTGCTTCCCGCCTCAGGCGTACCGTACCTTACTTTCCGGCTAACAGGGTGCCAGCAACTGTCTCTCCTCCGTATTCTTCTTCTTCTTCTTCGAGTCCATTTTGTTGCTGCCTCTGCAGTCTCTTTGTCGTGCATCTCCCCAGGCATCTCGACCTCGACCTCGACCTCGACCTCGACGACTGTTCCCGCGAGCTCGGAGTCGACTCGGTCCACATACATACATCACCATCCTCCTCCGTTCTCCGGCGCCGCACATCAACGCATCGACCAACCAGTCGCCCTCGAGGCCACCTCCGTTCCTGCCTGCTTGACCCATCGAATATCTGACCACTCTTCGACCACGGTCATTGCACAAACACTCGAGACCTTCTCTCATCCTTTCGGTGCCTGTCTATATCTGCCAAAGCTCTACAGCAACATCGACAGTCGTCTCAGTCCACCTCTCTTTTCTCGGATGCGTACATGACCATCGAGCCCGTGACAAGCATCAATCACACCTCCTGAGCCCACCGGGCTACCTCTTCACGGCTATCTTCCTGTCCACCGTCAACCCACGCAGGGAGCCATGGCTGATCGAGGCTCTTCATCTCGGCGTGGGAAGCTGGGCGACGAGTCTATCGGACAGTTTGTCATCGGTGCCGAGATTGGAAAAGGAAGCTTTGCTCAGGTTTATCTAGGAAAGCATAAGGTCAGAAGTCTCCGCCCCTGTTGTCCTCGGCCTCTTCAATAGCATTCCCAACGCTCGATTCGAGCTTGATCAAGTGTGGCATATACCATGATTTCCATATACCCATCCGACCTCCTCACCTGCTTCTATCAAGCTTCACTTGTCCTAAAGCGTTTACTGGCACTAACACCAATATAGAGTTCCGGTGCCGCTGTTGCCATCAAATCTGTCGAGCTTTCTCGGTTGAACAAGAAGCTAAAAGAGAACCTCTACTCGGAAATCAGGATATTACAGAGGTTACGGCACCCTCACATCGTCGCCCTCCATGACTGTATCGAGTCAGCTACGCACATCAATCTGATAATGGAGTACTGCGAACTCGGGGATCTATCGCTCTTTATCAAGAAGCGAGACAAGTTGCTCACAAACCCTGCTACGCATGACTTGGCTCGCAAATATCCCAATGCGCCGAACTCGGGTCTCAACGAGGTTGTCATCCGGCACTTCCTCAAACAGCTCGCAAGTGCACTCCAGTTCCTACGGGACCAAGCCCTTGTACACCGTGATGTCAAGCCACAAAATCTCCTATTGCTTCCATCCCCTGATTATAGGGACGCTCACAGGGCAACTCGACCTATTCTTACCGCAAGCAACGACTCTTTAATACCGGTTGCTGGCTTGCAATCTCTCCCGATGCTCAAACTCGCGGATTTTGGGTTTGCTCGTCATCTCCCATCAACATCACTTGCAGAAACCTTGTGTGGCTCACCACTCTACATGGCCCCCGAGATTCTCCGTTACGAGCGCTATGATGCGAAGGCCGACTTATGGTCTGTTGGAACAGTACTTTATGAGATGGTAGCGGGCAAGCCCCCTTTCCGAGCTAGTAATCACGTGGAGCTGCTGCGAAAGATTGAAGCCGCAGAAGACCAGATTCGATTCCCCCGAGAGAGCATTGTTAGTGCCGACATGAAATCATTGATCAGAGCACTATTGAAGAGAAACCCTGTGGAGCGAATGGGCTTCGAGAAGTTCTTCCAGCATGGCGTAGTGGTGAATCCTATTCCTGGTTTGGTCGAAGATGATGTGCCACGGCCTGAGAGACGGCTTTCGAGGGACATCAGGGTCGCCACCAAGTCAGATGAGCCAGTCTCACTTCCCCAGAGAGTATCGTCATTCCGGCGATATCAGACAGACCGCGATGAAGCCACACCTTCTCCCCGAGAGCGGCCATCAAGGCCATCACCCCTCAGTACTCCCACTGAGACGGATAAACAGCTTGGGGAAGCCTCTCCTCGCTTGGGCTACTCACCACGGCACGAAGCAGGAGAGGGTCTGGGAATTCGCCGACCACAGGCAATTCCTTCCACGTCTGCACCAAGTCGACCTGGCATCTATGCGGAGCGCCGTCGTGGCCTTTCAAACGCGTCACAGAAGGGTCATAACCGGGATCTACCCTCTCCACGCATTTCTGGCGTGCCAGATATAGCACAGCCTCGAGTTCGATCACAGTCCGAGAAAGTTGTGCCTGATGAGCAGGAGCGAGCTGCACAGGATGTCGCCTTTGAGCGAGACTATGTCGTCGTGGAAAAGAAGCATGTTGAAGTGAATGCTCTTGCTGACGAGTTGGCAGCCAACGGGCGCCTAGGCGCGCAAGCCCACTCTCTATCCCCAAAGTCTGGACAGATGGTCAGGCGAATCACTACTCAGGGCGCGCCTGAATCCACAACGGGAGCTGTGGCACCGACACCATCTCGTGGCATGCAAATTGCACAAGGAAAGCAACGACCAGGTGCTCATGATCGACAGCCTTCGCTTGGCGGAAGCCCAGGCTCCACAGCTTCTTTTATCTCAAAAGCAATCCAGGACGCAAGTCTCCGATTACTTGGTATCAAGTACACGCCTGGCATCCTTGCTAAAGGACAGTCTCCTCCACAATTCTACAGCCCGTTTCCCACATACCCTACACCTTCGACGCCAACAGGACTGATCGGCGATGGAAGGCAAGGAGGCCCGGTTGACGAAGACTCCCGTGTCGCCCAGTGCATCGAGGATTATGCAACGCGCAGCGACGTGGTCTACGGATTTGCCGAGGTCAAATACAAGCAGCTCATCCCACTCGCCCCCTCTATGGATCATGGCTTGGGTGGCGTGCCTGCAGAAAGGTTGTCATCCGAAGAGGAGGAAGATGTGCTCACAGTTGAAGCAATTGTATCGCTGTCAGAAGAGGCTCTCGTTCTTTATGTGAAAGCGCTAGCCCTTCTGGCTAAGTCAATGGATATTGCCAGTCTCTGGTGGACACGAAAGAGCCGCACGGAAACAACCAGCGGTAGCCACTCTTCTGGTCGAGAGCCTCCGAACCAGGCCTTGGTCCTCAGGATCAATTCAGCCGTTCAATGGATTCGCGCTCGTTTTAACGAGGTTCTTGAGAAGGCCGAGGTTGTGAGGCTGAAGCTGATCGATGCCCAAAAGCGCCTCCCGGAAGAGCACCCCAGCCATCCGAGCAATCATTCGACCGAGCCTACGTCCACGACCAGCTCGGGAGCAGATGGTGTGTTTCTCACAGCTGGCATCAGTGCGGAGAGACTGATGTATGATCGGGCTCTTGAAATGAGCCGGACAGCGGCCATCAATGAGATTGCGAATGAGGACCTGTCTGGCTGCGAGATCTCTTATATCACTGCTATCCGAATGCTCGAAGCCGTCCTTGACAACGACGAAGATTTGCCTAAGCGGCGGATTTCCGGGTCTCAAAAGGATGACCGGGCTCCCGCACGAGAGGAGACCTCCAATGAGATGAACGCCGACGACCAACAGGCCGTTCAGAAGAGTGAGTGCTATATCGATTATTGAAGGTTTTGTGACTTTTGCTAACATCATTTAGTGATCCAAATGATCACCTCAAGACTCACAACTGTCCGGAAGAAGATGCATATGATTGCAAATGCATCCAAGGTACAGCAGAGAGAGTCTCTTGTACGACGCCGCAGCGGAGATGTTACACCGCGAAGCGTTCAATCGCATGCCTCATAATGAGCCGTGCACCCCCAAATTTATTCAATGTTACGATTGACGAGAAGCATCGATGCTATATTACGACTTCATGCCCCGCGGCCCTCATCTTTGCTTCGCTTTCGAGCCGACACAGGCTCACCATACGTTTTGTGAGTCGGGTGGATGACGCCCGCTTATTCATACACTTTTTGCACCCTCTGCGAAGATGGCTCATACATAGGAGTTGGGTTCATTGTCGCATTTTTTGTTCCATTCCTTCCGGGTTCCGGATCAGCACGGAATGGACATCGTCTCTTTTTGTTTTTGGTTCGAGATTCTGGGCGTTATTGAACATGGTCACGAGGGACTATTGTCATTTCATTATGGAGTTTTCTGATCGGGCGATCAAGTAGCCCGCTCTGTGTGTTTCGTGTGCTGATAGTGTCTCATTGTCATTGTGACCAAGGAGTATGCGAGGAAGTCACCTATGGTTACAGAGGAACATATTGGGGTTTACAATGCAAGGCACTGTCGTCTGGAGAATGGATAACATATTCAGTGCCAAGCCCTAGATCATTTTTTGGCTTTTGCAAGTTTTTTCGTGGACATGGGCATAGGAATTGAGTTTTGGGAGGAGCTCTTGTCCGAATGACGAAGCGTCACCGGATGACAGGACGGATGGCAGAAGATCAGAGTTGGCGGCCCAGGCAGCCTTTTCTTCCGTTTAACTCTTATTCTTTTCTTCTGTGTATTCAGGGTTGTATAAACTAGAATGAGACAAGAGTCATCTGCCAAGTTTTTCTTTGCGTGCAATCCCGGTGAAAGTGCCATCGTCGTCAGCAGCAGCTTCGGCGTCAGACACCGTTCACAAACGCCTTGCCGCCCATTTGCTTGTCAAACTCGGCGCACTCCTCCAATCCGCATAGCTCAAAGCACTCCCGGATGCCGCCGATGACGTTGCCATCGTCGTCCCTGCGCTCGGCCACCCTGCCCGTCGTCTTGAGCTCCCGCGCCACCTGCCGCCACGCGAGGTACGCCGCGGTCATGGCGAGGCACGGCCAGATGACGACGCGGTAGCCCATGGCGCGGGCCCCGTCGGCGTCCACGAGCGGCGTCAGCCCCCCGCTGATCATGTTGAGCAGGCACGGCGTCGGGGCCATCTCGGCGGCGCAGCGCCGCATCTGGTCCCGGCCCGTCATGCCCTCGAGGAAGGCGACGTCCGCGCCCGCGGCGACGGCGGCGCGCAGCCGCGCGATGGCCGCGTCGAAGCCGAGCGACTGCAGGGCGTCGGTGCGCGCGATGATGACGAGGTCGGAGGCGAGGCGGGTGCGTGCGGCGGCCGCGGCGCGGATGCGCGCCGTGAACGTGTCGGTGTCGACGAGCTCCTTGCCGAGCAGGTGGCCGCACCGCTTGGTGGTGGTTTGGTCTTCTATGTGCAGCCCTGCGACGCCGGCGAGGATGTACTTCTCGACCTGCGAGGAAAAGGTCAGTGTAAGTAGGTGGGAAGCCCCTGGGTCAGTTCGGGCGTAATCATGGGTCGTGTGGGGAGTCTTGGCAGCAGAGCCATTTCAGGGGCTCGGGGGTAGTGGTGACTTACGGTCCGTGCTACCATCAGAGGACCGCCAAAACCCGTATCCGCATCAGCGATTAAGGGAACATCACGGTTCAGTCCTGCTATCATCCCGGCGTTGTTGGCCATGTCATCCGCGGTAGTGAGGCCAAGGTCTGGCATGCCAAGCCTGGTCATGGCAGTGCCAGCGCCAGTCTTTGTAGGTTTCGAGTTAGCACATGTACTCAAGAGCCCGAGTCAGACCAGGGTCTGCATGGGTATGAGAGGGACTGGAGCTTTACGAACCATGTATAAATTCTCAAAGCCCTCAGCCAGGCATACTCGAGCAGACAAGCCATCTTGGACACCTGGGCACACCACGATCTTGCCCTCCTCGGCGATCTGAGCTCGCAGTTTGGCAGCTGCTTTATTATACATTTTGACGCTTCGCAGCTTTAGATTAAGGGAGATAGAATGGCTGGTGACTCCTCGATCAGTCTCATTGGCATCGGCGACTCTGTCACCTCCAATATATAGTCTCGAACATGAGAACGAGTCTCCGTTCTCGGACCTTTTCGAAGAAGGTAAATGTAATCTCCATAAGTACTACATCGAGTACCTCGACTTAAAAAACATATGCTCAACTTATATGAAATTGCGAAATGGGATACATGCGTAAACCCAAGCTTCGATATGTCGTCGATATATCTACCCCAGAAATGCCGTCACTTGAACGGCAATAGCACGGCCATAGGAGCTCTGCAACGTCCAGGTACGGGGTGTAAGCCGCCCCGGCCTCCTTCTTGCGGGGAGCGTGGCGGACTAGCACAGCAGCCCCCTCCGGCGACCCCCCGGACTCAGCAGGACGCTGCTTCCTCTGCCCCGAAGGCTTACGACATCCAGTGAATCGGTCAGCGCTAGGTCTTGGCATCTAATGCTGTCGTGAGCGACTCTAGGAGAGATGGCGGGAATAGCACGGACTGGGGGGAGTGTCATGGTGAGAGCCTCATGGAGATGATGTTAGGCCGGTGTTCGGAGAAAAGCTGAAGGACAGAGGGTACGGGAATAATGAATGTACAAGAATTGCCTCACATCTTAGATCAAAGAAATCCTGACTTGTGAACTTTCAGGATGCTGACAAGTATCTGAAATCTTGGACTGTCATTTCCAGTGAATACGCCCAAGTTCATCTATACGATAAATAAGAAGTGTCCTGAAGATGTCGGTGATTGATGAGATATGATAACATATTGGTCGATCTATGGCACAATATACCAATCGTTACAAAGAACTAAGGAAATCCCCGATAGCTGAATATGTGCCAACATATGGCAAGTCAAAGTCTGCTAGCCCAGAAATGTCTATCTCATGCCTTGGCAAATGGGTGGCCAAAGCCAATATAGACGGCTGTCATCTCAGCAGGTTCCATTGCTTGCGGATCAATTCTATCTTCTCGTCTAAAGTGCAACTTTGGTCGACTTGAATTTCAAGAGCATTCAATATATCATCTGCAGCAGCATCTGCTTCGTGTTAGTTATGAGTCAAGTTTGGTGCGCGTCTCATGGGTACCTGTCAGATCATAGAGATCACTCACGCATCTTGGAAAGTTAGGAATGTCTTCTCCTGTGGTGATGTTCTTGAGCGGAAGAAGCACAGTGTAGATATCCCCTGTGCTTCTGCTGTTAGATATTCGAACATCAAAGTTGATTTGGCTATGAAGAATATGAGTAATTGACGCAAGGAACAATAGAAGGCACGGCAGACCGATTCTCCAACTTCGTCAGCCTGGCAACAATGGTCTCCAAGACTTCTGGATTGTTCGGAGTTCTTGTACACATGGCAATTTCGAAATGTCGAGCAAGTCCTTACGCAAGGCGTGCAGGACCGTTGTAATATCACCAAAAGTTGGCTGTAGTTCACGTAGTTCGGCCACAGTGAAACCAGATACGCAATGTATCTCTTTCCACTGTAATTAATCAATTTTATTGAACGTAAACGCAATGATAGATTGGCTAGAAGTTTTCAGCAAGAGATGCACTCATATGAAGAAAAGAGCCATCACCATTCGCGAGTCGTGGGGAGTCCACTGGCATATCAACTCAGATGAGAGCTTACGACAGATCCATTTCATTTGATTTGAGCTGGGATTGGCCTGTTGGCTCATTATCGGCGTTGGCTTCCATGAGAACGTGGCGTTTCAGAAAGTTTATCACTTCATCGATCCCCGTGGGAGAGTTGAACCAGTGTCCGCCATCCGGATACTCGCTCCACTCAACTTGCGCACCGAATCCACGCAGCGCATCTCTCAGGTCCCGGCCCCATTGAACCCGTACAAGCGGGTCGTCGATGCAATGCTCGAGGAGTATAGGCGTGCTGCGTACAACATCATCACCGCCCGGAACACCATCCAGGCCGAGAGTCTTTCTCATGTCGACGAGTGACCTGCCGACAAATGGCAGCCGGCATGAGAATCCCATGAAGGCAGCGAGTCTACCTCCCGCCTCGGTCGGTATATCTAAATTGAAAAGGGTGTGCACGCTTGTCGCGCCGCCCATTGAAATTCCTGCTAGTATGAGACGGTCCCATCGGCCTCCTAGGCGGGTCGCCTCGCCTTCAAGGATATGGCGGATAGCGGGAACAACCTCCCTGAGCCCAACGGCCTGCAGCTCCTCGCGGTCTGCGAAGTTGTTGACGTTCCATACATCAAACCATTGCGGCCAGGTATCAGGCAGGCTGGCACATTTGCGCATCGGGGCTTGAGGAAACACCCATCTAAAGGAGGGAAGGGCTTCCCCTAGGGTACGATTGTGCGAATCGCGGGAATAAGCCAGACTGGCCGAGAAGTTACGGGCTCTATCGCCGCGCCCATGCAGGAAGACAACTGTGTGTGTATGCGTCGCCGATGCTGGCTCGAAAATGATTGTGGGAAGGTCCATGGCTGGATTCTATCCCAGCGTTGCAATAGTGTGATGGTTATTTAAGGAGTTATGTAAAGAAACCATTCACACAATATCCATAGTATTAATAGCCAAGCAATGTCACGGCGCAGCACGCCAACAGGCAGACATTTTGGAGGCCAAACAATTCTTGCCTTAGTCGCGATTCACTTCACAATTCCAAGCCCGGAGGCTACTGAATACAAGCCTCAAAGCCAATTACCATAGGATTTAGTGAAGAGTGATATTGTGTTGAGAATCGAGTCTCACTGAGTCTAGAGTGCGAGGGATGTACGTACTCCTCTGCCACGGTAATAAACGTTAATTCTTCAAGGTACAGGGTGAAGATACTCAATGCAGGAAGTTATAGTCTTCATCAAGCTCCCGAATATTCTGTTTATTACTATAGGTCTATCAACTTCTAGAGGTAGTGATGCGTTGTTGAGGAGGTAGTGCCACCGTTGGCGACCTAACATTTATTACCCTGGCGGAGGAGTACAGTTGTAATCCGTGTGTCGCTTGTCCGAGAGACTGGTTATGGCTCGTGCGACCCATGGATTGCCCAACCCCTATTAGTGTAACCCGACAATTGTTCCTCAGCCAGGAAATCTGCATACCATAACGCCGAGCATTCAATCTCAATTTCATTAGAGTTACAAGAAGCCTTACGCTCGAATGCCTTGGAATGGTTTCTTTTGAGCTTGTCTAGACTGCACCGTATCTTATCCGATGGCAAAATGAGCAGACTTCGTTTATGTTACCAGGACTGACAAACCTCTTAATCTCTGAAATCTCCACTATATCTATCCCCCAACAACGAAGCAAAGAGAACAATAAGATACTATCAATTGTCTCAGGCAAAAGAGATGTTATTACTAGCTGCAAAGGCCTTTATCACCCAGGTTTAAGACATGGGCGTTCCAACGAGGCAGTCATTCAATTGCCTTGTTCAAGCTTCGTTTTTGAACTACATAAATACTCTATAGCAGGTTGCATCACAATCACAACAATCACGTAGCCTTGTTAGTACCAACACGGAGGTAGTAAGGAAGTAAATACAGCAGGAGGATCTGTGTACTTGCGCCTACCACCACAATCGCTGGCAAGGCAACAGGACCTCAGAAATTGGCTTCCGGAGCAGTTACAAACTCTACACTGTCATAGAAGCCTTATGATTGTACCGCTCTGATGGGAACTGATGGGAAGTGATGTTTATGTCTTGAAACGCTGTTACGGATAGCTGGGACTAGGAAAGAACGTAGTGGAATCTGAGGAATTGGTAATAACCAAGGCATTGTCGGTCTAAGACTTTAGAGTTATTGGATATTTATAAACTCCCCTTCCGGTGGCATTGTCAACGCATCACTCTTGCTCCATCTATGCCTCACAATACCCGGTGGATCTCCTGCTGCGTGAAGCAACCTGCGTTCCTTTTGCTGACACTTGTCTGTCATAACCTTCCAACTCCAATCAAAAGGGGGGCGGACTGATCCAAGCTGCTGATATGTAACTATCTTGACGACCCAGCCCTTCGTACCGCATCCCCGGACAATATCAATGCAATAATCCGTCATGCATATGGCACACGAGTTCACAGACGAGACGCAAGCTTCGAAATAATCCGGTGGCAATGTCCCTCTGTCGAGCTCAGGAAGTACAGACCTCAAGGCATTCCGGGCGCTAGGCATACAGTGGAGGTGATTGCAGATCCAAGGCCCACGCTGATCGAGAAAGCACCTCAACCTATTTGCATCGCCACGGCATTGAAAGGCGGTAAAGCTGGAACGTAGCATCAACTGATGGTTGATTATTCTAGCGCACCATGTTCCTGAAAACCTGACATCATTCTTGCGGTTCCGATGTAACCTCAAGGAGCCAGAAAGCTTCTCGACGGGAACACCATGTGCATCGCCATAAAAGTGCGCGTTCATAACCACGCGAGCAAAACGATAATCGACGTTCCATGGGGCATAGGGGAGAGGTAATCGAAGACTAGGCTGTTTGTTGCAAGGCATCTCAAGGCAGAGATTCTTGTCATGGAAGCCATGGTAGATACGAAACCAGGATCTATACCACGGATGGAGACTAATGCAATAATGGCAGAAGTACACATCGGGAGTGTCCTTCTCCAGATGAAGTAGAAACTCTTCTCTTTCCTGGAGACTAAGCGTCAGAGATTGCGGAAAGCATAGTTGATAGAGCGTCCGGCAGGTCAGCGCCAGGGACATCACGGCGACTTTGTCCAGATATGTTCCAATTGTCAATATGATCTCTGGAGGCAGTGTAAAGTGGCCGAGTCCTGGGTGCCTCGTTTTCTCGACCCAACGAGGTAGGAAGAATCTGTACCATCGAGATTTGATGGATAACATGGTTGGCACCATTCTGTGGCTATTCACCACGACGGAGAGACGTATTGATTGAGGTATATGATATGAGTGAATCCGATGAATAGGAGAAGGAAAAGAATGGCTGGATTGGAGTTTGGAATTTGGTCTAGGTGGATTGAGGTGCGCAGGTTTGGTAGGCGAATCAAAACTTGGTAGCTTCGACAGCGACACACGGGTCGCAACAGCAAACACAAGCTTCTCCCAGGGAGACTGAATGACTAAAGCAAATACGCCAACTGACTACCTAGGTAGTCAATAGCTGATGGAGACCTTCCTTTTGTGAAGTCATGACAGCATCGACTCTGCCTTCCAGAATTATTCTGTTTTGCAATTGCCTTTCCGGAAAGCCGCAATTCGGTAAAGTACGACCCAGGGACCAAGGAGCTCTCGCCATCGATGCAACCTTTCCTCAAGATGGCTAATTGAGCATCTTAAAGTCAAGAGCTGACTTCCAAGCCTTACATGGAATTGCCTCACATACCCAACGTCATTTTTATCCTCAACCTGTTGCGTCGCTCCTCTTTGGCGATTCCTTAGCACTTCAACTTCTATGCGACGTTTGTATTCTTCTTGAATAGGATTACTCAGAACTTCGCCTTCCCATTACTTGTGTTTTTCTTCAGAATGGGCTCCGGACCTCAGAAATACTTGCTCTCTGACGAGGAGTCTCGCAGAGTTTTCGAGACAGAGATCGTGCGCGACGAGCTAGAGTACCTCCAGGGAAGCGGCCACGTCAATGACGGGCTGCAGCCGCTGGCCGTGATCCTCGTGGGTCAGACCGGCGCCGGCAAGACAAGGACAGCCCCGGCGCTGAAGGAGGCCCTTTCCAACATCAACCGCACGCCCGCCCACTTCATCGCTGATACCTACAAGACCTACCACCCGGAGTACGCCAACATCATCAAGGAGAAGCCCGAACTGGCATCGCCAGCAACGGGGCCGGACGCGCGGAAGTGGCTGGAGATGGCCTGCCAGTATGCGATCCAGCACCGCATCGACTGCCTGGTCGAGTCTGCCTGTCGGCACCCGGACGATTTCTGCTCCTTGGCGCAAGCCTTTCACGATGGAGGGTACCGGGTCAATGTTGCCGTCTTGGCCGTGCCCGAAGCACTCAGTTTATTGGGTATCCTGATCCGCTACTACAAGAACCTGCCGGAGGCTCAGTCCCGCAATCTTCCTCTTCGCCTGACACCTAAGAAGGTGCATGACGACACTTACACGGGTTTGTTGACTGCGGCTGCCTTCGTCGACGAGTCGGATGCTGTTGATGAGGTAATCGTCGTGCGCCGCAATAACCTCGTTGCGTACCACAATGGTCGCGAAGGCAACGGCGGTGAGAGGACGTGGAAACGCCCTACTGGAACTGAACATGCACTCGACATCGAGCGGGTCCGCCCATTGACAGAAGACGAACTGGCAACCGCTCATGCCGACCTGTTGACGCTTGAGGACCATAAGGACGACAAAGGTGTCGCGGCTTCCGTCATGGATATTAAGGATTACCTATCCGCGCTGCAAGCCAAAGGGTCGAGCATGACGTCGTTCCCACAGCTCACACCTCTTGACGCGGCTGCCTTCGTGGCGGAGGGCACCTCTGAGATGCATGCCTCTCGAGGACCTGGAAAGTTGTCGATCGAGGAGGAGATCGCACGTGAGGAGCCCGAGGCATGACCTCACCAAGCGGCGTAGACGACTTCGCTTTGTAAGATAGACTTAGGGGTCATTCGGAACTGTTTGTCTACTTGTAAAGGCATTGTATACGGATTGGAAATGGCAGTCTACACCACAAAGGACTCGACACACAAAGAGTTGAGTTCTAAGGAACTTCGAGACAATTCATTGTTCTGAATCAGGGAAAGAAACAACACGATTACTTGACAAAGGACTAAGAGAACAGGAGTATGATTAGATTAAACGATAAATACTCGCAATGGATTCCTGACAACTGTGAAATTCTTCCTCCTCAAGCAATACTCGCGTCACAAGATTTGAAGCCTCCCTCTTGTTGCTTCTTCTCTCTTTGCGAAGTGGCACCAAATATAGGGGCTCTGGGAATCAGGAAGCTATTCTTGAAACGATATCTTCTAGAAACTACTGGTAAGTCACAAAGTCGCAGCTAATCATGGCAGAGAAAGCATTCAAATCTCTGGTCAACCTTACCAGGCGCTTGACCATCGACAACAAGAAGACGCCAACAGTGCCCGTCCCAGCTCAGGAGACCGAGCCACAGGTAAGTTCATCCCGCTCCCGCTCCCGCTCCTGCTCCCCCATCTGCCAGGAGGTGCGCGCACCCTCGCCCATCAGGCCCGACAGCCGCTCGCTGATCAAGTACCTCGACTGCGACCACGTCTTCGAGCACCTGGCGCCGAGCCGCTACCACCGCCCGGAGGGGCACGACGTCGTCAAGTACGACCCCGGCGAGTGCCCCGACTGCGCCGAACTGGCCGACTGCTCGTGCTGCGGCGCGCCCTTCCCCACGGAGGTGGGCGCCGACGGCCAGGAGGAGACGATCCGCGTCTGTCGCCGCTGCATCGGCTGCGGCTGTGGCGGCGGCCGGGCGCCGTTCGCCTTCTGCTGCGAGGACGAGCGTCTTTTTTCCGAGGAGCGCAAGATGGACGACACCCGTCGCGCCTTCAAGGACGGCTACCGGGCGCCTATTACCCACGGGGCACTTGCAGTGATGCGGTGGGAAGATTGGTTGGACAGCGGAGGGTGGTTGGAAGGCGAAGGGCGGTTGGAAGGCGAAGGGCGGTTGGAAGGTGAAGGGTGGATGGAAGGCGAAGAAGGGTGGTGGTGCTCAGACTCAGACTTGGACGAGCCCGTAAGTTTCTAGAACCCTTCTCTTACAGAGGAGAGGTTTCGTAGCCACAGCTGGCTGTGTTAAGGCTATTATTATTCAACTGAAGACTTTCATTACTGATTAGAGGAGATTCGATACATCTTGATCATCTTATCTATGTGCGATACATCTTACCAGTGAAATTTCGTCTCCTCTTTAATATGCAGCATGCATGATAGAACATCTGTACTTAACACCGCGAAGCCAACTCAGGGAAACTCGGGCGTGCGCCACTCTTAAAATACCTTGACTTAAAAACCACGCAGGATATTGGATGAGGCTGTTCAACAGTTGAAACCGACGTCTGATTGTCATTCATACACATATAACACTAGTGCCTCATGGCTCGACTGTTTTGTTCAGCCGACCACAACCTGAGCCGCTCCAGGTGTCTGGTCACTACTATATATCTCTCCTCACCTCCTCCAACCAACACTATATTCACGAATCGAAGGGTCCGTTCCGCGGCCGTTACATACCCGCTGCTCAATGGCAGCGATCTCCCCTTTCCCCATTCCGTCTGGAAGAACAAAAATCACTTCCAGATCCCCAATAACGCCAACCATTCTCGACATGAGAAGCCCCCTAACCCACATGGCATTTCCCGAGCCTGTTTCGTCATGATATATAGTATCCTAGTCGCCAAAAAACCCTCCCCTGGCTCGAGACTTGTAATGGCCGAGCTCAGTATAGGCTGGAGACCCAATGCCATTAGGCCAAGACAGACATTAGTGTGATAAAAGAAAATAAGCAAAACGCAGCGGAGCCGCCCCCAATATTGTACAGGTCAACATATATACCAAAATGACTTCAAAAGCCATTGTTCTCCGCAATCCTGTAGGTACGCTGCGCCTTCCTCTCGGGTCGCGTCCTAATGGAGGGGTCGTTGTGTTACACTGGTGAGCCGACTCCGTGAGGGCTCGAATCAGGAGTATATACACTAGTAGAATTGTGTCAGGCTGTTGCAGAAGTATCCGCCATGCATCTTCATGGCGCCTCGGCAGCGGGACTCGGCGACTTATGCTTGCGGAAGAAGGACAATGCATTCATCCTAAAACGGCTTGGTCTCTTCTTTAGCGACTTCTCCTCAGTGATTCTGCTCGAGTTGGATGTATCATCTTCGGGTATTGGCTGACTTTCAACCTTCAATTCGGTCATACTTTTCGCCGAATCTGGTGCAGTGATCGTCGTCACAGGTCTGCTCCCTGGCCTGTCCATCGAATCGCGACTAACGACGCTTGTTCCTTGTGTACTCGGTGATAATGGCATTTTTCCTGTCGTGGCACTTGTCGCCTGTGATGCCCAGTCACCGGTTCCGGCAGCAGAGCCTTCTGTCGTCTCACTGCATCGCTGTCTAGTCGGGCCACACCGTTCGACTTCGTTGATATTGAAAGGGTCACTGGCGGCGAAATCGCGTACTGCATCGAAAGTGGTCGAAACGCCGCCATTGACTTCTTTATACTCAGTAGCCATATCTGGAACATGTGCAGGTTTGCTCGTGGGTTCAGCAGGGGGAGGGGTGAACTCCTTTAGAGTAGCTTGTTCCGTCGATTCCGAGGCTTCAGACTTCGGCGCTATCTGTGCAATAGGTTGCTCTTTGCTGAGTTCAGTTGTGACTGAACTCGCTGATTTTGGAGACAGAGTGCCGTCTTGCGTAGCCTTACGCTCAGGAGATGATGCCGCAGCAACTTTCTTTGTAAAAAGGCCACGATTGTTTTCCAACTCATCGACACAATATTGGAGCTCGGGAAGAATTTCGACCACACCGCTAAATAGAGGTATCGCGAACAAGCTCATGAAGTTGATCTGAGCTCTGAACATGGAAGTACTGTCCTTGAGAGGCGGAGCCATCAATGCGGTTGGGATTTCAAGTTCGCTTTCCATTGACGCTTGGCGAGCAAATTCATCAGATAGAATTGACATCCACTGCAGGGCGGTATCGTGCGCTCGAGCCTTGCGAATATCTTATTAGTTCAGACGGGACAAAATTCAAGGAATGAAACTTACCACGTTGCTGATATCGGCACATTTGATTAACAAGGCACATGTGAGAGCCTTTTGTTCCTCCAGCACCCGCCCATTCCAGCCCGAGGTAGTATTATTCATAAGCAACTTCTCCTGAAGATCGCCCATCTTCTTCATGTATTCAAAGTGAAGTCCCATATCCGTAGCCAAAATTGAACTGATCATGAGATTGCGCATTTTCTTGTCGTCGAAGGCTTGGGGCCAATGCCTGCGAAGAATTTGGGAGTATGCTGCACAGTGAAACGCCTCGAGAACGGATCGATCATTGTACAACTGCGCGAGCGGAGCATTGAGTGTGACGAGGAAGCCATTGTTGACACCCGGATGTCCAACGTCGTGACCAATAGCGGTGATCAGGAGAGTCAAGGCCTCAAAGGGATGCAGCAATGCGGCGACTGGAGACTTCGCTGCTTGGGCATTGTCGGAAGCTTGTGCTTGTGGGAATGGGCTTAAGGCGCCAAGATTGACCAAAAAGCTGAACGTTGCTTGAAGTACATCCACCACATGGCGAAAGTTGTGATAAGGTACGAAGCTGTTGTAAGCAGCTCGACAAGCAATCAAGTAACGAAAGAGTTGGTCTGCAAAAAAGCGGTCAGCACTCTGAGCAAGCGATAGGGCATATGCTGCAGGTCTCCGTGACATGCGCCGGAGTACTTGCCTTGTGGTATTCGCCATTGTTCCAATTCTGGCATCGAGAGCGCATGATTGAACATTATCGAGGCCGCAATAATTAATTCGTCGTCGGAAAGGTCATGAGCACAGAAGTGCCACTTGCCGACAGCCTCTGCGATCTGTGACTGTCGCTCATGTGTTATCGAAAATGATACGCCACCGACAATCGGTGGTTCGCTGCCATTCATTGAACAGATACCACTCATCAAACCCGATACCATGGCTTCTCTAAGGTACGCGAACGGTTTCTCTCCATTCACACCAACCCAAGACCGCTTGCGACCTTTTCTTACCTCAAGCATGGCCTGTCGCTCTTTTACAGCATCCTTATGCGCCCGATACGCATGAACCTCGAGACTCGCAATGTTCTTGAGATGCAAAGGACTGGCCATAACGTCACTGGCGCCAAATTCAAGGCATTTTTTGAGTAGCCTCGGGTGAGCCGCACGGCCATTTGTTGAAAACGCTTGTGTATCAAGACCCACGACATCGTCGCTTATAGGTGCATTGCGAGCCTGATCGCTGAACAACGGGATCGGCACAACTAGTTTCGATAGTTTCCGAAGTTGGACTTCTGTTGCAACTCTCTGCAATAGCCTTAGGCCGTATAACTCCTCTTCCGATACCAAGTCGGCATCTCCATCAGGATGTGACCGATTCGAATGCGGCGACGGTGATCTAGACCGTTCCGTATGCTCGGGTAAAGGCTCATCGTGAGGAGTGTCTATTAGTACGATAGTGGGCTTCGAGGCGATTGTTGGGGTGTCATGGAGGTCGAAGAGTTTAGTGATACAAGACGTGCCAGTCGCGCAAACATAAACTAAAATGTTGGTCAGTGACGCAGAGACGGCCAGCTATGCTGAGGACACATACTATCGCCGAAAGCACCTAATAAGAGCTGGAGGTTGTCTCCTAGAATCTGAGGTTCGTCATCGAGGGCCACACCTTGGGACCCCACAACGTCGGGTTCAGTTGACGACGGGCGGAGCAACCTATCCTCCCGAACGTTGCGGTCAACGTAGATGACGTTGCAAACGTTGTCGTCCATTGCAGCGCCAAAGAGCAGCCAGTCGCGAGACTGGTGCAGCTTTGCCACAGCTGAGGAGACCACGGATCAGAATATGATCGCTTGAGGCCTTTGGTCGCGCGGCCCTGTTTCTCAGATATATCTCTGACAACCACGCGCAATACGGCGACAAAGACGGCGTAACGCCCGAAGCCCTTTCCCTTGAATTATTGCCGAGATCTGGCCAAGTAAATGCGGTGTTCAAGCCTAGTCAGATACAATCGATGTTCGATAGACGCCTGCCACAGTCATGTATCAATTCAAGTTTGTTCCCGCTACGCGCGCCTCGAGTCGCTTATATGTTGTCGCGAAAAGTACAAAGCTGGAGCCTCGAGTATGACACGGGCATGGAATGGAAGAAGATCGACCGTCAATGAGTGGCTTGCAGCAGTTGAGATCGAATGTGGAGTGCGCGAGATCTATCGGCAGAATTGACAGGCGTAGCCTTTGGACAAGGAATGACAGCCGTCTAAACAGGAGGTGCAAGACTGAAAATGCGGAAGTGCGGGAACAAAGTAATCGAGTAGGAGTCGGCTGGATTCTGCAATGTCTGATCAGTGGCTGCAAGCTGTAAAAGAGAAACGGGAAGCCGAGAGTCGAGTCGAGGTGTGGGATTTTGTGAAGTGCGCAGAGTCGGGGCGGTACGAGGATTGGCCTGGGTTGGACTGGCGCAGATGAAACAAGATGGTATCTCAAGCTGAGCCAGGCCTGGACAGTAGGGAAAAAAGAATTGGTAAGGGGAAGAAGGGGGGGAAGATCAGAGGAAGTTTTGTTGATTTTGGTGTGCGGGAAGCAGAAGCGCATTTAGACCAAACCAGGCAGGTAGAAAGGGTCGTTAAGGTAGACGGAACCTTGTGTGGGACATGGGAGGACAAGGAAGGTCACAGTCGCCCGCCGCCGAGCTCTCAGTCGCTCTATGGACGGACGACAACGGCAATCGACGACCAGCCTGGACAAGGACAGAACGAGTAACGGGGGGTTCCAGATCTTACCGGGAAGTCTGGTAGTACACTCAAGCAAGTACTACCTCACTACCTCTACAGGAGGCAACGCAATTGTCCAGCCAGGACGTCTACTTGGGGGACAATCGACACTGGGTGAGAGTCAGGTCTCGAGAGTGAGAACGTAGCTACCTAGTACCGGCAGAGGCGATAATGAGAAGATTAAAGGAAACTAAAGGGTTTGAGGCCGATTGAACAGGGTAGGCAGGCCTGACTTCCTTG